GACGCAGTTTGTATGAAGTGAGAGGCGGATCAAGTTATATTTATACAATGAAAAATGTATTTTGTAATTAAATGAAATACAAATTGTAGATATATAAGAGGCCATTAACTTAGATGCGATGTCTATTTTATGATTTTATTTATATACTTCCTGCACATTCCCTAGACAAGCGATACTGTCGTACATTTGTATGCAGATTCATTGAAAGGTAAAAGAAGCGTCGTCATAAATCGGTATATTGCAAGGGCATACCCTCAATGAATTATGACAAGCTTTTACACATAAACTCAAGAAGTATGAAGACATTTGAAAAGTGCTGCGAACCTGTTGAAGTCTTGCAAATGAATTAATTATATCTATATTTAATGTACTTGACCAGCAAAATATTCAACATACGGTCTAACAAATGTAATTTTAGCAATTAGATAGTAGAATCTATATAGGTTCGCAGCACTTTTCACAAACTACAAAGAGTGTTGAAAATAATTATATGTTAAACTTATATTTTTAACTTGGTTATGCCCTTGCAATATTAGAATTTATAGATGACCTCAATACTTCAGGTATATTTGCTAAAATCACGTGACTGCCACATCACTTGACAAGTCTAAATAAGAAATCTAATCGTCCTCAACATGTAGTTTTCAACCACATTGCATTTTTCCGATAATAGTAAAGTCATAAAAAGAAGCCCCCATCCTTGTAAAGAATGTATTTTCTATCTAAAAAAATTCGCCGATATTTCCATTGGGCACCTTAACTGTGCTGCGTACCACAGTGCAAAAACCTGGGTGTAAAATCTATCCTTGATTGACCTAACGTCGTTGAATGCAAGAGGACTATTGGTGTTTAATTGTAATTTAAAATTCATTTTAAAAATGATAAACATTTAATTGTACGCCTTCTGTATGTTCGTTTTAAACAATAAAATGCTTTATTTCTTTGTAACCCGCTTAAGATCGGAATAAGAAACAAAGAAAGACATTTTATTGCTTATGTCTATGTCTGTATAAAAAATCTGATACAATAGGACGTCATTATATGTTTCATTGATGGAGGAGCCACCACTCAAGAAGTCTGTACGGGTGGCTTGCTTAGAGTATTTATGTTGTGATAAATGGCAATGGTTTTTAAAAGGAATAAAGGAGATAATACTGTACGTGTACATAAATTGCTTACTCAAAATTTTGCTCAAGCTGGGCATGGAGTTGTTGTTGGCGTAATTATGAAGTAGCGCTGCACATATCCGTGCCATGTATTGAATATATATAAATGATTGCTCAGCGGTATTCATGAATTAGCACATCGTTGTCTGAACGAATGCCGCTAAAATATGAAGCCCACTTTTTTTAAGTACACGTACAGTACTGAGTGGATAAAAATATATAAAATAAAAAAGTTGGAATTTTTAATTCAATAAAAAAAAATATTTGAAATATTTTAGCCTAGTGGTGTAGAAAATACCATGCAAATAAGTGCCATGGCTATAATCAACGCGTTTTTTATTGGTCAATAAACGAAAAAAAAAGAACTTTACGAGCTACAGGAAAGCTTTAACCTCTATTTTACGATATTGCTTGCGGACAAAATATCAAGTATTACAATGCATTAGCAGTTTGACGTTAGAATAATGCAAAATATGAATATGATTGTTATAGAGATACGAGTTAACTCAAGCCATTAAATACACTTTGCACTATACGGACCCATATATACATGTAATCCATTATCTAAATGCCGAGTTGAGGGCCACAGCAAGTGTTTTCTTCTTTTCACTCAAAAGATTTTGAGCAAAATTCTGCTTCATATGAATACAAAAATAGGTCTGCTAATAATGGGGCGAAACTGGTACCCATGGGATTTCCAATAGATTGTTGAAAGACCTGGTCTCCAAAAACCACATAGATATTGTCAATCAGAAACTCGAACATCTTTTTAATGTCACATTCAAAGTACTTGTGTGTACAATCAGAATGTTTTCTAACAAAATTTTTGTAAAAGGCCAATGACAAGGTAAGTAAATTTACCAGTTCCATTTTTATTGAAAAAACAGCTGTCAACCATGTCAGAAAGTCTGGACTTTAATTTATCGTGGGGAATAATTGTACATAAAGTTGAAAAAGAGTAAATTCTTATGTTGTTGATTTTGGTTAAATTTTGTGATTTCAATTCTTCCAAAAAGTTCCTTGGAATCTTTAGTATCCACGTCTGCTTTATACCACTTCTCGAATATATTGTTGCACAGTACTTTTAAAGTTTCTCTTTTACTACTGTTAATATCTTAGTGAGGAGTAAAGAAAGAGGCTTAGTAGATTATTTACTAGAACCCGCTATGTATCTTTGATTGTAAGGATTTTTATGAAGTTTCGGAATCCAGTAATAGATATGGTAATTCAAATTCATTTTTGTTGTTTGGAATATCAAAAATATTCAAAACTGACATATGATTTTGAAGAATTTCTTCCTTAGAAAGGGAGCCATGGGTATAGAATTGATTACCACTCGTAAAATTAATTCCCACTTCCTCTAAAATACAATTTATATAATGAGCCTTACAAACAAAGACAATGTTGTTTACCTGCTTTGTCAGCAGGGACCAGTACGTACTGATCTTGTAGTCTAATTCTTTTTTCACTTCTGAATTATTGAATACAGAGGGATAGATGGTTTTCAAACTTTCCCCTTAATCGCTTAATGCGAGATTTTAACATACATCTGATACATTTAATCCATTCTGTCAAAGTGCCATGGATTTCTTTCTCATGTCTGACCAACGTCTGGCGTAATCCTTTACAGAATCCATAATATGTATGAAATTACGTCGCCAGTTAAAGGATCGGGGTTCCTTCTTGTCGCCAAAATCTTTATATCAATATTGGGCATTTGCGGATGAGTGAACCCCGATACTTTAGACGACTTTCTAGGAAACTAAAGTACAGTACATTGTAAGAGCTTACTTTACAGAAAAGATGTGTCATGATGATATCATCATATGTACTTTCGCTGAGTAGGTTTTATAAATTGATTTGCTACATTGTAAAATGTGTGCTGATATAATTGTTTAATTGGATATATTTTATGAACTAGTAGGACACATTCATAAGGAAACATTTTGTTTGTACTTCCAATCAGGCACAGAATTTTTGTGATTCTCTTTGAGGTCTATATATAAAATGAGTATAGAAATCGTATAAAGGATTATCTACCTAGAAGGTATTTCATTTCTAAGGAAGAATATATTACGAAAAGTACAGTTGAACTTTGGTATCTCGAATGCCGATATTAAGAATACTGGATATGTATTTTCCGTTTGATATCTCGGATTTCTTTTTCTCGGTCCCATTGAGTTCGAGTTGAAGATATTTGAGTTTATATATAGTTTTTTTTTTTCAATTTGAAAATTTATTAAAAAAATTGGAGACAAAAAGTTTCTTAATTTAAAATTGACATTGCAGGCTGTGTAGATATTAAGTGTCAATTCATATTCAGTTCCAGCAATACACGAAAAGAATAAGAATATTCAAGTAGAAAAAAAACAAATCCAGGATTTTTTTTGTATTTTTCTAGGGCAAAGAAATTCTTGTAATATATATATATATATATATATATATATATATATATATATATATATATATATATATATATATATATATATATATATATATATATATATATATATATATATATATATATATTATAATATTATATCTGTAACTTCTCCTAGCAATTTCCCCGTCCTGTAGATAAGAACCATGTGTATCAGCCTTAGAGAAGACAGAGAAAATAATATTTTTCAGCATTTCTTTTATATCACACACTGATACTAGAATCAAAAAGCAGATCATTAATATTATAAAGTAAAGCTAAATATTAAAAATCGTCCTTCAGGAATGCATTCTTGTTTTCAACAGATTGATGGTGCAAAGAAACATAACGTCATTATTATAATAGGATTTGCTTCATGTTTCTTGATGTAATAACGATATGGAAAAGGAAAAGTTCTCTAACATGTCCACAACAATTGATTCTGTTAATTGAATAGCAAAGGAAAAGAGGGACAATGAAGTAGAAAACAAAACAAACATGATATCCTCTTTTTTTTATCTTCAGCATTGCTAATCTTACCAAAAAAAAAAAAAAAAAAAAAAAGTCGTATTTCTTAATCTTAAAAAATATCAGAAACGTAATTTTTTTTTACACATGATACAATATGCAAAAGAAATCAGTTAAATAAAGCAATGATATACAGAGATCTGTAGGTGTTTAAAATTTAATTTAAAACTAGGAAATAATACATATTTCATGAAAGAATATACTTAGTCCTTCACTTACATGTACATTTAAAACGAGTCTTTCAAAATTTGCACTGATATATATTAAGTTTTTAACATCACTCATTGGGAAAGTGTATTCATTCTAAACAGCGTCGCCTCCTGGATCTTATGCAATGGATATTGTTGGAACGAATGTTGGTATGATACTAGGGCTCCCAAATAGTCCCCACAGAGTTGTTGACAGATTCCCAGTATTTGCCACGAAATATTTCTGAGGTGTAGTGGTACATAAATCCCTTCATCATAGAGAAGTAGAGTCTGCAGATCACGTAGGGATTGTTGTGACCTGACTGTGTCACCAAGTTTGTGGTGATTCAGTATTAACAACATGTGTAACATCACCAGAGGTGGGATGAATAATATAAGTGTGTCATTCTTGCCCCCGACCCTCTGCTCTAGAATTAGTTCATCATTGTATGTATAATCACAGTAGAACTAAAAATCGTTCAAGAGAGCAATCCTCATTTTATGATCCAGAGACATCCCCACCGTGTAATTGCTGTACATATCTACATTTACATGTTCGCGGTACATAATGTATGGCAGAGTCGTTCTTTCCTGTGTTTTTCGTAAACAACTGAGTGAACGTTCATATCTACATATTCTATAAAGATGTATAGAAAGATAAAGAATGTCTGACGCACAACCTAATGTACATGGCAGTTTTAGTATTACTTTACTAGCTCGGTAAAAACGTTATTACGAATTGTATTTGGATATAAACCACACTGTATCAACATGACAGTTTTTTATAATACGTTTGATGTCATATACTGCAGTGTTACTTTCTGGTATGGAGACAATCGCTTACTAATCTCCATTTCAATTCCCTTCATGAAAGCTACAGATTCTGCAATACAAGAGATACTTTGATGAAATTTATTGAATTCTTTAAATAAACTCATCTCTAGTTCAGTATTAGTAATGATACTGCTCTCGGTGATACAGACTCTCAATGCCCTGTGTAATATGACATGATTGAGAAAAGGCCTTAAAGTTTCACTCAGTAGTAGACTAGGTATACCCTTGCAATACAATTCATACAACTTATTGAACATTAATGTTTGTATAGACCCAGTTAATTTATATCGGAACATATTATACTGTGGAATAAAAAAGTTGGGCATTCTCCAGTAAATACCCAGTGTATCAATACATGTAGTTTAAAGCATTCCCAAAAACAAGGCAATAGGTTTTCAGGTGTCCACGTTAAGAAATTATTAGTCTGAATTACCCACAATACAGCGGTTTTTGTGAAGTATGAACATAGAACGGGCAGATTATCATGAAAATTGATTACTTCCTTAAGAAAAGTCTTGAAGAGACCATAACACAAAAACTGACAGCGATTCATTGCATAAACAAGTTTTTGTTCTGCGCATGAGAATGAAATTCTCCATTCTTGACTGCTTTCAGGTGTGCTGCCGATAGGAACAACATGGAATCCTGCGCTTAATATATCTGATATAACTACTTCGGACGGCCAACCTTGTTGTCGACATCTTTGTATCCATGGTAAAGCTTTTGCAGGCCAGTGATGGGATCGGAAACAAAATACACAATGGACACAGGGTGCATGAGGGTTAGATAAAGAGGCGAAATTCCAGGTCCGTAGGAACAGTAAGTGGTTATCACGGAATAATGTACTAGATATATACACACTGTTATTGATCGCTACACAGGAGGATCTGACTTTTACATCATTTGATGGACTCATAAGATTAAGTCTAGTAAATCCCGGTGGTAAATCATCACTCTCCATCAGAATCACTGTATGTCTTGGGATACGATAGAGACTGACTTGAGAGAGATAACATATCACCTTGTGACCTGGAAGCCAGAACATGCAATCATGATCAGAAGCAACCAGTCTGAATCCCTCACGTCTACTCCCACTCATCATTCTGTCAAAACCCTTCATGATTTTCACAGACTGTCTCACCACCTCTTCAGTGTCCGTCACTTCTCTCCTCATCCTCACCTCTGTAGGACTCCCTATTTTACGACACAGTCCCACATACACAGCCTCTGATAGCCGAGGGATGTGATCCATTTCAATGAATATTCTTAAATTATAAGAAAGAAATCTTAAGAAGGATAAATAAAATGTTTTAGCTCTGTATAGTGATTTTCCTCATATACGCATGTATTGAAAATAATTAGCTGTTGACAGACTGCATGTATACATATAGTTTTAGGATGTGCTTATCAGAGCCTCGATCAAGATTTTAACGCTCATCAGTTTTCAATTCTGAGAAGTTATTCTTCATTTCTTTATTGACAATGGATAAGGATTTTATCTACGAGGGGTTTATTTACATCAATCCTATTGACCTTTCTGTTATTCAACATTTATTAAGGAATCTTTTTAAAGGATGTCATATTGTATTATAAAAAACCCTAGATCAAATATTTTCGATTATACATGTTATATAAGATTCATTAGTGTAGATATATATGTATAGTATAATATATGTACCTTGAATGTCACCTGAAGGAGAATCTTTTAACTCTGGAAAATACCCAGTTTCTACTTTCGGTTTGTAAGATGAATAGGCAATCCCATTGCCTATATTTTATTTTTGGTTTTAATAAAACATTATTAATAAAATTTTCAAAACGAGGCTTATTTCTATTCAGATGGCTTATCAGACAGGAAATATTAAGTATACTTTTAATTTGTCAGAACGAAAGAGGAGTGGTGTATTTCTTTATTGAATCAATATAAATTCATTCAGCAAACTCAGACTTACAAAGCATACGTGAATGAGCAAAACAAAACAGGTTTCAGGCTTTTTAATCATATGGATGTTTGTTTACATAATGATATAGAATTTTTAACTTAATAAATAATTGATGTTTCCCATTTGTATCCAGTATTTGCATCGTATTTGTAGGTTCAAGCCTAGTATTCCGACAGTCCGGTAGTCCGACGGTCCAGTAGTCCGTCGTCCCGATAGTCCGAAGGTCCGGTAGTCCGACATTTTAACCATCAGTATTTAAGAAAGTTAAAATTAATTCCTGTTAAGACATTTTTGTAAGGATTTACAAGAAACCGCAAAATCGACACGGCCTGATTATAAATCAGGCAATCAATATCGGACAAAATCATTTACGTGAACTGTAAGTCAGGGAAACGGTATTTATGAAAGTTAAAGATGTACAGGCAAAATATGTCATAAATGACCCTAGCGTACCATTCCAGAGAAGTTGCTTCCATTGAAACCCTAGATATCAAAGTGTTTAGATCAGAAGACTTTAGAGTGTTTGCCCCACTTTTTTTATTGCAAGCTGAATAGATGGTGAAATAAATTGCCTTGAAACTTTCGGGGTTCATTAAAAATGAAAATATCTTGATTTTTTTTTTTCATTTTTCTTTCAAAATTCGCTAAAGAATTTTGACCGCGCAAGTTCTTAAAAAATGAAAGATTTAGAGAACAAAGTTTTAAAATTGATAGATAATAGAGGGATAAACGTGCTCGTCGTCACTTCTGGTGCTGTATAGTGAGATTTCGCCCATAATCAGACTTCCCCCGAAAGACTGTCTATATATCCAGTCCCCCAGAAGGAATTCAGTATACAGGCAGGCTTCTATTTCCCCCTTCTTAGCGACGTTTTCCCCTTCAGTTTCATTTCAGAAAAGTTCTTATGTTTTGTCTCACCAAATAGTTTGTCTTTTGAGTTGGAGGAGTGTCGAAAGCCTTATTATATAGCCAGACGTTCCTCCTTCATAACGAAGCTTTCCTCTTCAATTTAGTTTCTGACAGAATAGTTCTTTTCAGTTTTGTCTGATGTGAAATGTCTGTCCTTTGGTATTGTCCTTTTAGTCAAGCTAATTAGCACTGTAATCATTAATATACATAGAAGTAGTTAACTGAACCATTAGTTTATTTTCTTAATAACATGAATAAGTAAACAATTGCTACACTTAGGGGTTGTTCTAATTACATTTTTTTTTACATATTTTAGAAATATAACATTTTGTACCAAATGTCTCAATGGCATCTAAAATATGCTGTGGAGGATCCTTATATTTATTATGGGGGAAGTCTCACTCTCACCACGGAGGAAGTCTCAATATGGGGAAGTCTCACTAAAGGGGAAGTCTCGATATGGGGGAAGTCTCACTATATGTCACTGATGAAATATATAGAGATAACGAACAGTATTCAACCTCAAAAGTCCATTAAACAACACAGATCAGGAGCAGAGCAAACACGGACCCCCAAAACATGAGAGGTGGGACAGGTGCCATGGAGGAGAGAGCATCCCCTGCCGACCGGTCACACCCGCCGTGTGCTCCTTGTCATGATCGGGAAATAACGGAAAAATCCGTCGACAATTCAGTGCCTAAATAATGGCCTAACAATTAGTATGAAAAAACTTCAGTCAGCATTTCACTCAATTGTAAATTGTATTTGCTGACAAGGTCATTGTATCGACCATAGAACTTACGAAATGATGACTTTAAACGAGACTGCTGATATTCTTGTTTCATCAACGTGTTTGTCAATAATTTAACTCGTTTTAGAAATTGTACATACGTAGAGCATGCTCTTGCGTTTCGAATCAACTGAGAGATATAAACCCCGTATGCAGGTGATGAAGGTATATTGCTGCATAAGTAAGGGAAGTTGACAATTGAAAAGTTAAAGTCATCACGTTTATCATAAACTTGTTTGTTAGATTACCATTAACGTCTTTTTCTAGTAAAAAATCCAAATATGGAACAGACTATGTGGTATCTTTTATCTCAAGCTCACCGGGATATATCGTATCGACATAAGAATGCAAATAACAATTGTAAATTGACAATACGTCGTCGATATATCTAAATGCCGAGTTTAAGGCCACAGCAAGTTTTTTCTTCTTTTCACGTACAAGATTTTGGACAAATTCTGCTTCATATGAATACAAAAAAGGTCTGCTAATAACGGGACGCAATTGGTTCCCATGAGAATTCCAATAGATTGTTGGAAGACCTGGTTTCCAAAATCCACATACATATTGTCAATCAGAAACTCAAGCATCTTATAATGTCAACTTCAGAGTAGTTGTGTGTACAATCAGAATGTATTTTTAACAAAATAATTTTGCAAATGACCAATGACAAGGTAAGTAAATTTACGAGTTCCATTTTTATTGAAAAAGCAGCTGTCAATGATTTCAAAAAGCCCGGACTTTAATTTTTCGTGGGGAATGGTTGGGTATAAAGTTGAAAAGTCGTAAGTTTTTAAGCTGTTGATTTTGATAAAATCTTGTGATTTCAAATTTTCCAAAAGTTCCTTGGAATTTCTAAGTATCCAGATCTGATTTACCCCACTTCTCGAATATATTGTTGTACAGTACTCTTAAGTTTCTCCTTCACTACTGTTAATATCTTAGTGAGGAGTAAAGAAAGAGGCTTGGCTGAACATTTACTGGAACCCGCTATGTATCTTTGTTTGTAAGGATTTTTATGAAGTTTCGGAATCCAATATAGATATGGTAATTCAAATTCATTTTGCTTGTTTGGAATATTAAAAATATTCAAAACTGACATATGATTTTAAAGAATTTCTTCCTTAGAAAGGGATCTATGAGTATGAGTTAGATACCACTTGTAGAATTAAATCCAAGTTCCTCTAAAATACATTTAATATAATGAGCCTTACAAACAATGTTTTACCTGCTTTGTCAGCAGGGACCAGTACGTACTGATCATCTAATCTAATTTCTTTTTCACTTCTAGATTATTGAATACAGAAGGATAAATGGTTCTCATATTGCCCCTCAATCTTTTAATGTGCGATTTTAACATACATCTGATACATTTAATCCATTCTGACAAAGTGTTTAGGTCTTCTTGTACCTGATACAACAGGTAGTGAATATTAAATGTTCAAATTTTCATTTTTCTTTTTTTTTTTTATTTCTGTTTGCTTTTCAATAATTTTACCCTAAAATAAACTCGAAGTGCATGTCCGGACTAGCATGTGTATGAATTGTTGTTGCTTATTTTAATCAATTGTTAAACACTGTTAAAGGGGTATTGAACTAATAAAGATGAAATACATATACAGGCCTTCATAAAGAAATAACACAGGAAACAAGAAATGAAATATGGAGATAGTGAACAGTACTCAAGCTCAAGCTCTAAGGTCCATTAAAACAATACCATTTGGGAGAACGGCATACACCGACCTCCAAAACACCAGAGATTGGATTAGGTGCAACGGAAGACTAAGCATCCCCTGAAATTAAATTTTAACAAAAGTTTATAAGCTAAAATAATCTACAAAGATTGTGAATAAAATACCTTAAATAATCCTTAACGAGTGATTACGCGGGTACGCAGGTGAGTTAAGGCTAGGTATAGGCATTTTTATGCAAATAAACTAATTAAAATGTCTAAGGACTATATCTATTATAAGGGGAAGTTAAAACGTATTGTCTAATACATACTTGGTACCCACGAAATGAGATAGCCAGTACATATTATGACGTCATTGTTCTTTACTACACAAGATTATAATGGACATCAACAAAAATGCTTCGGCGCAAGGGCATACTCTATTTTATTTAACTGAAACAAGGTATATTTAGAAACAAAATATCACAAAGATTGCTAGTATTGCTGCACAAATATCAACAGCTCAGTTGTATAATTTCTATTTGAAAAGTTTTAAGTTGAATCAGAGTAAAAATGTACAGTCCTGTATATGTTTCCTTAAATTCCGATCAAATGAGAAAATGCCTAGGATTTGTGCAGTAGTTTAATTAATCTATAGAATATTCTTCTTACCATTATACAATTTTTATGTAAAATTAAATAAGGTAATCCCTTGCGCCGAAGCTGTTTTGTTGATATGTTTTATAACATCAAGTAGGTAAGAACAATGACGTCATAATATGACGTCATAATGTGTACTGGCTATAACATATCTGGGTACTAAGTATGCATAAGAAAATAAATCAAAACTTTCTCTGAATAATAAGTATACCTCTTATGCGTTTTTATTAGCTCATTTGCATAGAAACGCCTATACCCAGCCTTAACTCACATGCGTATGTTAAGGCTGCATTCAGATATCCTACTTGCCAACACAGTATGACGTCATAGTAAGCTGTATGACGTAAACTTAAAAGATACTGATTTCTTAATATCTATATTTAAAGTTTAATTTTAGGACCAAGAAGTGAATGGCATCAATCAAAAACATAATATAAACTAAATCTTGTCGTTTTGGGGTGGCATAAATATCACGGGGGTTAAATACCAAACCCATTACGTCATAACTATTGATCAAATACCGAGTTTTGGTAAGGTTTCATGCGAAACTTTGGAATATTTTTTTCTGTTTCGGGAGAGTAGGGTTCTAGCAGCACTTTTCATGACCCAGTGATCTTTTTACATAATTATTTTTACAAAAAGAAATAAATTATCCACGGGGAAGTTTTGAACTTTTCACTTTTTCGTTAAGGCAATTTCTCTATTTATAGACGTCACGTGATGACGTCTTAGTGGAGTGCTTCTTTTAGCCTAAGACTCAATGACGTCTATACAATGGATGATAATTGATTTGATATGAATTATATAATTGATTTGCGGGGTTTTCACTCTAGTTTTTAGGTTACTTTTATTATTGTAGACCTTGGTCTTGTCACGATCTCATAAAAAGGACCATGTCTTCCCTTGACCTGCCTCGGTTTGGACATCATAGACAATGAGGACTATTGATGGAATCTACGTCTAAAGGCATTTATTCCTCATTAGAAAATAGCTGTTGATAGTATTAAAGATTACTTAATTGGTGTTCTCGTTTAACATATCAGGACTGTTTCTAGATTTAAAATGTGTGTTCTTTTTTCCGAAGATTGCGCGAAGTCATGCTGTAATTTCCCAGATTTTCCTATTTCATTATTAGCCGCCCAAACCAAGGAGATGTTTTTAAAAGGTAGTAAAGATCACACTAATGCACATTTTAAGGAAGGTCCCTCCTTGACATTTTCCTCAAATAAATGTTTTGGCTTATATTACCTTTATGACTACAACTTCTGGAATAAGTATACCTCTATCTTTTATTAACCGGCTTCAACCCAAATCAATAGTCGGTAATTTTTGATACAAAATTAAAGACAGTATTACCTCTTTACTATTACTGTAAAATCACATGTTTCCCGTGGGGTAAAGTTTTCGTGGTTTGAGGAAAATATATGGGTTCATGGGGATTTTATTTCGCTGATGAAGAATTGTTGAGTAGTAATATGTGTGTAAAATTACATTGCATGGTGGACATGAATTCGTGGGTCTCTTCATACATCGAAAACAATGAAAATTAAACCCCCATGAAAATTAGTGATTTCACAGTATCAGATTTTATGTTTGTAATTCATAAGATGTCACTATCATTTCTAAAAATAAAATTGAAAATAAGAGGGGAAGGTTTCCAAAATGGAACATTCAAAAGCATGACAAAATTTGACATTTCTGCCAATTGGATTAACATCTATTTTTTTCTGATTGTATTTAAGATGTTACATTCAATAACAAGAGGCCTGTAGGCCACAGTGTTTACCTGAGTCACTTTGACCCTGTCGTTCTTCATCAGATGTGTTGTCCTCTATACATGTAAAATATTGATCGTCTTTTGTGTTACCCCACCCTGTGAACAGGGGCATGAATTGAACAAAATCGAATCTACACTACCAGAAGATGTTTCCATATGAATATGACTAATCATGGCTTTGCTGTACTTGAGAAAATTTGTAAAGTTTCTTTTCCTATATATCCCATTGTAAAACTTTGATCGCCAAATGTTCCCCTCCATACCTCCAAAAGAGGAATGGAGGTGGTGGGAGGGGGGTCATGATTTAAACATACTTGAATTTTCACTACCTGAAGTTGCTTCCACATTTATATGACTAATGGTGTCTTCGGTGTCCTTATGAAGATATTTTTTTCACATCTATTCCTATATAAAACTTTGATTCCCTATTGTGGTCCCACCATACCCCGGAGGACATGAATTGAAAAATTTTCAATCTATACTATCGCGGGAAGCCTTCACATGTTTCATTCTTTTTCAGGTCCAGTGGTTATTAAGAATAAGATTTTAAAAGATTTTCCCTATATAATTCAATGTAGATATTCTATTGGTTCCCTATCGTGGCCCCAACCTACCCCCCCCCCCCCCCCCCAAAGGACTTGATTTGAACAATTCAGAATGTACATTTTCTCAGGAAACTTCCACATAAGTTTCACCTTTTCTGGCTTAGTGGTTGTTGAGAAGATTTTTTAATCATCATTCTTGCCTTTTCTTGATTATCTCCTTTTCGAAGGGAGCTTGGCTATTTATTTTAACAATCAAAAATTCTCTTCACCCAAGGATAACTTTTGTTAAAATTGGCCTAGTGGTTCTTGAGAAGAAGTTGAAAATTTGAAAAGTTTACAGACGGACGAACACCCAACAAAAGTGGATCAGAAAACATCACATTCTTTCGGCTTGGGTGATCTTAAAATCAATAAAAGTATATTATTAGTACATCACAGGCTTTTTTTTTTCAAAAACTCCTATATCTTTAAAACTGATATACATCATCCTTCACCATCAAGTTGAAAACTTGTCATTCAAAAATATTTCTTCATAAAATATGTTTATTTTTTTTTCTTGCTTTGAAAACTGATGAAGCTTTATTTTAGTAGATTATAAGATAAGAATAATTTGAAATTTCTGCAAAAAATTTTACAAATATGTACGCTACAATGAAATATTTAAGGAATATATTTAATAGCTAGCCAAGTTATGCTGCATAACCTGGGTTGGGGCAGCTAACGCTTATAAACCGCGAAGCAGTTTATAAAAAAGCGTAAACTGTCCTAACCCAGGTTATACCAGTATAACTTGGGTAGCTATTAAATTCATTCCTTATAATTTAATTTTTCTTCTTTAAGTGTCAAAAAATAAGACAATTTCTCCTTCAAAAATGCCTTCAAATTTTACGTATTTTTAATTTAACTTCAAGCGGATTTATGTTTTTGACGTACGTCATTGTGACGTAGGAAAACCAGGTTATACGACATAGTCTAATTTTCTTTAATCCAATCAAACAACGCGTTACAACCAAAACTAAATTAAATGAAGATAGCGAATGGTATTGAACTGTTCAAGCTCAAAAGTCCATTAAACAATACAAATTTTGGAGCAGAGCAAACACGAACCACTAAAACATCAGAGGTGGGATCAGGTGCCGTGGAGGAGTGAGCATCCCCTACCGACCGGTCACACCCGCAGTGTACTCCTTGTCATGATCGGGAAATAACGGGAAAATGCGTCGACAATTCAGTGTGTAAATAATGGCCTAACAATTAGTATGAAAAACGTCAGTCAGCATTTGTCTTAATGATAGATTGTATTTGCTGACAAGGTCATTGTATCGACCATAGAACTTATCAAATGACGACTTAAATCGAGACTGCTGCTATTTTTGTTTCATCAACTTGTTTGTCAATAACTTACCTCGTTTTAGAAATTGTTCATACGTAGAGCATGCTCTTGCATATCGAATCAACTGAGAGATATAAACCCCGTATCAGGTGATGAAGGTATATTGCTGCATAAGTAAGGGAAGTTGACAATTGAAATGTAAAAGTCATCACGTTTATCATATAGCTTGTTTGTTAGATTACCATTAAAGCCTTCATCTAGTAAAATATCCAAATATGAAACAGATGTGTCAGACTCTGTGGTATCTTTTATTTCAAGCTCACCAGGATATATCGTATCGACATACAAGCATTTTTTATTTGATAATATTTCTCGAGATTTTAACAATGCATCACATCAGTAACCCTCATTATTTTTCCGATAAACATGCCTTTAGGTTGATAATCCATTTATGGTTATATCATTTTTACTGTGTAGTTCAAGAAATCTTACGGGTTTGCTTGATATTTAAATTAAATTTTATGATATTGGTTTGACTTACTCAAAGTAACCTAGGAAAAATCCAAAGATGTGTTTATAGCAAAGAAGTCTTCATGTAAATTCTAATAATGATTTTTTTTTGTCTCTATTTCGTTCCAAAGAAAGTGATATAATAAATATAGCGCTTTGATTCGGTCAATCCATAGATATACAAAATTCGTGCTCAGTCGTGCTGTAAAGTCGATATATATATATGGATCGACTTAAAAAATGGCTATATTTGTATAATATGTGTATAGTACCTTTAAAGATCGGTACAATGTATTAAGTCAGCATAATTGAAATCCAAACTTTTGCTTCGGCTAGCCTTCGCTTCACGGTCTTAGGAGTGAGACTGAAAATGTGCAATCTTTTGTGCACTCAATGTCTTTTAGACTTTAGTGAAGCGCCAACTCTCTGTTTCCTTGTATATATTCACTTGTGTCTCTAAAGTCGCTGGCATTTCCAAAGCGGACTTTCACAAACATAACTGATTTAAGCTTGAAATCCAGAATTTCATTTTCGCCATCATTCCAGCAAGATATCCAATCATTTTTTTCATGCTTTATCAAGTCATATCGTAGAGTTCTTCCACAAAGTTTTTCACCACTTTTGACTGCTTCCAGAAGAGATAGTTCCAAGGCAGGGGTTTGAACAAATACTCCACATTCCAATAATATTTTCACAATTTTATATCTACCAAGATATGCAGCCAAGTGTAATGGAGTCGGCAGTTCATTTTCATTCCTGTAAAGTGCAATACCTCTATTTTCTTTGAGTAACAGAACCAGGATATCTGCATAATTATGAATAGTCAAGTAAAACACTATATTATTTCCATATTTCTGTGTGGGATCACAATAACGCCTATTGGTATCATACTGAGAGTGATTAACTAAAGCATGTATAACGGCATTGTCGTTATGAATATCATCCACGCGCATTTCGATGTCATTTGGTGTTGTTTTAGTGTTCCCAACTTGAAGCAAAAAATTCAACACGTTTCTAAAGCTTTCCTCTCCTGGAAATACAATGCTAAAATGAAAAGAATAGAACATGCCTGTTTTCATGCTGTAAGACGGTTTGTACACCTCACCAAGTCCGTACCTGAGACCAAGCATTGCAGTCTGAAGTACTGAATAACCTTCGTTTGTCCTCTCTAATCTTTCTACATCCTGATTACGAGCTTCAAACTTGCTCAGTAATTCAAAACGTCCTGCATATGCTGCTATATGAGCACATGTCCAATTTTCCCCCGTTTTTATTGGATCTCTATACTGAAGGATAAAATTTACAGCATTACTCCAGCCATGAAGTACACAATAGTGAATGAGAGACAGGCTATGAAAAGACTGTCCTCCGATCTTTGCATCTACAAGATTTTCAACATTTCTATATTTTTGTACATATCTCAGTATACATAAAATGTATTTCTCCTTATCACATGTAAACTGCACAATTTCTGAAACTAATTTGAAAATAGCTGCATCAGTTATGGTGGGTTTTCTTGATTCTTCTAGATTGGTGATGTGTGGACCAAAATCTTCCAACAACATAAAAAGTAGTGTCGGTTCTTTTTGTGGACAAAATGGCAATACTTTCAGGAGCTCTGATAGAACGTCAATCAGTCTTTCTGAAGCATCCAAATGTAAAAGATGAGACACAAAATTGGGATCGGTGGAAGCAGGATGCCAGGCTATGTCTCTAGCTGCAAGCAATGGTTTTGATGTGATATCATCGCCATCATCACCATGCAACATTCTCTGGCAAAGATCACTGAAGTTTTCTTTTGTAATCTTCAGAACAACTTCATGCTGCTTCATCTCACAGTTTTCGGTTCGAATCAGTTCTTGCAATTTTTGTCTACTACACATTTTAATTACAACATCGGGTGCCAATTGCCCAAATGATACTAAAACTGTCTCAAAAATTGTGTCATGTGAAAACACGTATTTTCCTTTTGATGATTTAGAAAGAAATGATCCATCCATTGAATGTATAGCATCCTGTATTTCAATTTTCGTGATGCCTTCTAAACGTACTTTACTGCAAACAGTCTCATATAAGGCAACGTCGAAGTCTACAATACAAATAGATCCATGTACAAAAATATAAGACAAAACTGTGTAACGTATTTTTTCGTATGTATTGTTTGAAGTGCGCATGTTTTCTATTCGTGTAAATAGCTCTCGGTTTGGACGCAAAAAAAATGCAGGCCCAAGTTCATAACATTCTCGTATTGTGAAAAACTGGAAACATGTGAGAGGAAAACCATAAAAAGGATTAGACTGGACAATTTTTGTTTTATCCAAGTCTGATAATTGACATATTTTCTCTGTAGCATTTTCTTTGAGATGCCCATTCATCTCTTTGCCTTGCAAACTGGCATTTTTGTTAATATATTTCTTTTCATAAGCTTCTAGCATTGTTAATTTTTCCTTTTCTGACAGGGCAAATTCTTTGGAGAAGTCAATTATATACCTTTCACTAAAAAATTCATAGTACTGGTAAAAGTTCTTTGCCGCTTCCATAACATTTTTCCTTATCCCAAACATTAGATATATATTTTGCCCTTTTATTGAGGGAAAAATAAAATTTACGTGATTTTTCCACTTTTCCATTGCATCTGTATCTAGATTAAATGAACCGATGAAATCATCAAGGAAAACAATAAAATTCCCATGGACATTTACTACTTTGCTCCATTCCTCTGGATATTTTATTTCAACGGGTGTAAGTGGATTATCCCTGGAGTTATCTAACATATGACACATTACTTCATAAGCCGTAGTCGTTTTTCCTTCTCCACCATATCCTACTAAAACGGAAATTTTATACTTTCTCAGCTTTTCTATTGTTCCTTGGACAGCGGATGTAATCGTGTATGTTTCTGATGACCGATGTGTCCTTAGCACAGTCGCCGTATTAACTGAAAGAGAATCATTTGATCCATGATTTGACATTATATCATACATATTATACATTATAGTTGATTTAACGGATCTTTGCTTTACACTTACATACAAATTCACATAACTATTGAACTTTTAATTAGCAGCTCATTATTCAATTGAACTGGATGCTACCTTTTTTCATTTAAACGTAAGTTTGGTTTTAAATTATTTTATCATAACCAAAGAAATGTTACTTATTAATTGCAATTCATATGTTGTAGCATACCGGTATATGTATAAAAATATTTCATACAAAATGTCATACAAAATAGTCTTTTGTATGATGTTTGCATATTTATGCCCCCGTATCGAAGATTCGGGGGTATATAGTTTTTGCCCTGTCCGTCCGTCTGTCTGTCTAGCTGTCTATCTGTCTGTCTGCGAAAACTGAAATATTGCCAATAACTTTTGATTGGTTGGAGCTATGGATTTCATATCTCACGTGTGTATTCCTTGTGACAAAACCTTTCTTTGGGTACCACCATATTTGACCTTTGAACCTTGACTTTGGAGTTTGACCCAGTTTTGCAAAATTTTACCCAACTTCAACCTTGGCCGTAACTTTTGAACAGTTGGTGCTAATGCTTTCATACTTTACCTGTGTAATCCTTGTGACAAGACCTTCCTTTGAGTACCAAAACTTTGGCCCTTTGACCTTGGACTTTGACCTACTTTTGGAAAACTTTAACATTGGCCATAACTTTTGAATGGTTGGTGCTAAGGCTTGCATACTTCAAAAATGTATCCTTATGACAAGACCTTCCTTTGGATACCAATAAGTTTGACCCTTTGACCTTGACCTAGGACTTTGACCTACCTTTGAATTTTTTTTACCTTGGCCATAACTTTTGAACCGTTGGTACTAGGGCTCTCATACTTCACATATTTAATCCTTGTGACAAAACCTTCCTTTTGATACCAATAACTTTGACACTTTAACCTTGACTTTGGAGTTCGACCTACTTTTGGAAAACTTTGACCTTGACCATACCTTTGGAACGGTTGGTGCTAGGGCTTTCATACTTCACATATGTAATCCTTGTGACAAGACCGTCCTTTGGATACCAACAACTATGAACCTTTGACCTTCGACCTAGGACTTTGACCTACTTTTGGAAAACTTTAACCTTGGACACTTTTGAAAAGTTGGTGCTAGGGCTTTCATATTTAACATGTGTTTTTTCCTTGTGACACGACCTTCCTGTGGTTACCAACAATTTTAATCCATTGACCTTGAACTTGGAGTTTGACCTACTTTTGAAAAACTTTAACTTTGGTCATAACTTTAGAACGATTGGTGCTACGGGTTTCATATTTCACCTGTATATTTCTTGTGAGAAGGCCTTTCCATGGGCACCATTAATTTTGACCATTTGACCTTGATGTTTAACTCACTTTTGAAAAACTTTAAGCTTTTCCATATCTATTCAATGGTTGCTGCTAGGGCTTTCATTTTTCACAGGTATATTCCTCGGTACAAGACCTTTCTTTGGGTACCAACATATTTGATTTGCATTTGAGAAAGTTTAACCTTTGCTATAAGTTGCCATACTGGTGCATCAGTGTTTCACAAAAACATCTTGTTTAAATAGGAAAAATCATACATGCCTTGTCAGTTACTGAGAAAAAATGTAATATTTCAAAGGTATCAAGTGAACAATTTGGAATCTGCACAACTTAAAAATACATACAAAGTTACTAATGTGATGAAATACGACCCTGCTGCGGATGAGAAGATTTTATACAAATATTTTTCATAATTTATTACATAAAATCTTATTACGTAGAATTACATTTTTCAAAGATTTTTTTTTTAATTTCCCGACTTTAAATAAAATTTAAAAAAAATACTATCTTTTTAAAACTTGCCCCCTTAACCGATATGGGGGGGGGGGGATGGTTTGAACCTTTCTTCCTATTGTGGCCCCTCTTATAAAATTATTTAGATTCTACACTTTGCCAGAGAGCCTTTACAGAATGTTATCTTTCCTACTAGCGGAACTTGAAACATTGATTAATAATTTGACCCATTTTTTCTTCACTCTCTCACCGTTCACGGTAGCTCAGTCGGTAGAGCGCTCGCTCCGTGATCGGGAGGTCGTGAGTTCAAATCTCGGCCGCGACTGACCTAAGTCGATAAAAAATGGGTAGCAACTGTTCCTTCGCCATGCGTTCGGCACTTTGAAGTGAAAGTTGCGGGTCCTTCGGATGAGACCTTAAAAACCGAGGCCCCGTGTCACGACAGGCGTTGGCACGATAAAGATCCCTCACTGCTCAATGGCCCTGAGTGCCGAGTAAAGGTCAAAATTTGAAGCCCTTCACCGGTATATGGTGACGTCTCTATATGAGTGAAAAATTCTCGAATGGGACGTAAAACAATATACAATCAATCAATCAATCTTCACTCTCTCCTTGAAGGGGGACAGGACCCTTCGTATGAAAAACTTTAAATTTCTTTTTTTTTCACTGAGACAGTATACTAATCATTGTTGAAATTTGCCCACTGGTTAAAGAGAAGTCAAAAAGTGGGTAAAGCTTAAGGATAGAAAAACAGACGTCAAAGATTCGGTGAACTAAGAATATTTATAAAATATTTCACAGAGAAAACGTAAAACTTACCCATGCATTGTTTGCAAGCCTAGTTGAACGATAAGTAACAATAATCTTTGATTTTTTCAAAAGATTAAATGGCAGTATATGATATGTTAGCCATAACTGACAATCTCTTACCTAAAATATTTCTTGCTTCAGGAAAAATTGCAAATTCATCTGTAAAAATAAAAATGCATCATATTGTGGTTGGCCATGCTCCTCACAATTATTTATGTTAATTCAAATAAAATCATTATATCATTGCAATTAACATAAAACACTGGCTATAGCTATTCACAATTAAATATTATTAGTCCAGTAAAATTATTTTTATTGAGGTAAAAAATCATTTACTTTTATACTGAGTAAAATTAATTAGTGGTCATCCAGCTCACAATTAACTTTATTGAACTCCACAGAAAAAAAATATTACTCTGTCAAATACTTCTCACAATTAGATATTTTCACTGAAGTAAAATATCTACCAATTTCAAGTTTCTAGGGATGAAAATTTTCAATGTTACACTCAACTACATGTAATATTTCTTAAATCATACTGAATGACTTATAAAAACAAACATAATTTAGAGAACTGAGGGCGCATAATTTTTTTGTTTTTAGAATAACATCCGTCGTCAAGCGATGGAGAGTAAGGTGTAAAGCTAGGGTAATAGTGTTTTGTTAACAAATGTTCCTCGATGAATCAGTTTCAACTAATTCACATGAGAGTATATTATATCAAAAGTATAACACCTGTGGGTTTTTTTTTTTCTTGCTCGTTATTTGAACTTTCTTACTTAGCTTTTTAAGGCTGCAAAGCTTTTCTCCTTGTCTTTCAATTTCCTGATTCTGTCTTATTTGCTCTTTCATTATTATATCTTGTGTACCTGAAGAAGAAAATCCATTAAGTATCTTACAAATACGTTAAGTTTGCAGCCACAAAATCCTTAAAAAAGTTATTATGCTTTCATCTTCAACTTTGAACCTTCAGTATTATTTATCATATTCCACGTACTTTTAACATCAGAAATCGTAACTTGTTGATCATCAATAATAGAGAGATATCTTTCTTGTTGCTCGGGATCCATTGTTTCATTTTCCAAGAAATTTATAGCATCTGTGTAAGTTGTCAACTTCAATGCTGCTTCGATTTCTCCTATAATAAGACGCAATTCCTGCCATATACTATGAAAATCACTATCATTAAGCGAAACACTCCCACTATGCCCGCAATACTTATTCCTTATTTCTCGAACACGTTCAATATTTGCAGATACGCTCCGATCCATTGGCTTTGGAGTTTTCCCCCATCCATGCTGGTGTGATGGTATGCCACTTACATTACGGAGGAGAATGTAAAGTAATGACAGGTCAAATTCTTTATATGTACCAGTGAATAAATCTTTTGCTGGATACAAACATTCTTTCTGATTTTTATTTAGTATAAAACAGAGTTTGTCTCTTTTTTCTTGCAGCACAAATGGAAATTGAATTTCTGTTATATGCAGTTGCAAAATTTCCCGAAAAAGGTCTGTAAATACGTCAATTACTACACGTGATAAACGTGCTGCATTTGTCGTCTGCTTTGTAGATGCGTATTTGCATTGGGCCATCTCAGGAACATATCATCTATAGAAAAATAACACATAATCATATGGATGAGACAAATATTTATTTTGAATAAATTATAGAATGGACCTTTTTACAAAAGAATTAAATCTATGAATCGACAGCAGAGATGTATTTTTTTTTAAATTTGATATTACTTTTAGCTGTCTTTCGACACAATATCTAGATCACTTTCATCTTCTCTGCCTTTAGATTAAAATGACATAATGTGCGTCTTCGGATTTTATATTGATTTTCTTTTTAGAAATAAGGTAGAGGTACTGTGAGCAAGCTCACAAAATAATACTCTGGATGCATTTTTTTTAAATTCCCCATTACCAATTAAACATTTTTCTGCCAGTGGTTTTGAGAGGTGCAAATGACCTTGGTGATAATCATACAAATTCTCAGATTATCAGCAACCTTCGTGAGTTCGTGTGAAGTATATGAACTCCCAATGTTCCTCCATTGCAAAATATGAGAGTACAGTAAAAATATACATTTTTTTCTGTTTGTGACCTTGAACTTGCCCAAATGATCTTGGACCAAGGTCATGATACACCAACAGGTCATAAGGTATCTGTGTGTCACGTTTGAACTTCTCATTTTTCTCTTTTGCAAGATATGACAAAAAAACCCGTGGGTCACAACGCTCACATCATTTCCTTTAGCCCTGTTGTTCTTCAGAAGATATTTAAAAAAAGATTTTATATTCCCCTAAAAAATAGTGATCCCATTTTATGGCCCTACCCTGATTATGGGGTCTCTAAATTCAAACACCGCGAGGATGCTTCAATGTCAAAATGACTAAAATGGCCTTTCAATTATAGAGAAGAAAATTCTTTTCCTGTATACATGCATTGGGTAAAATTTCATCTAAATAAAAATTGGCTTTGGAACCAAACCCCACTCCCACCACAACAACAACAACAGGATTTTTTTTTATTTCTGCTTGTCACGAAATTTTCTGGGTTGGGAATATATTGACTGGGGTGGACCCTCCCCCCCTGGAAAAAATTCCTGGATCCGCGCCTGATTATAATGACCGAATGATGATCAAAGTAGTTTGCCTCACAGTCACAGTGCCGCATTTGAAGTTAATGTTAATATAATATAGTACATGTATGTGCACGTATAAAAAAAGGACCTCTTTATACATGCAAATGCTATATACAAGATACAAGATTTATTAGTCCAATTTGGGCCCCCGGAGGAGGTTAATTACAATAACTTCCAGTGCCCGTGGATGGCCTCGCAATAAATTTGTAGGTCATACTGTTATTTTTCTAATTCATATCAAACTATATATTAATCACTTCAAATGTCCATGTATACAATTGTAATTTTAATACGCAGATATTTTACACATCTGTATACTACAATGTACAAAAAAAAAAAAATCTCTAAACGAATTACATGTGTCCGTACATGTGTATTATGAAAGCAAATTTTAGATTAATCTGAAGAAACTATACCTCTTAGACGACTGAGAGCATTGCATTTCATATACATTCAAAATGAACTTCCCTTCAAAAGATAAACTTTTTTGAAAAAGTTCTAAACAGAAAATCCTCTGATTGACGACAATAATCCTAGCAGTGATCTCGTTTGTTTGTTGTTGTCATTCTTTCCGCCCCATGTTTTGATGAATATGGAAGCGCATAGAAGTTTAAATAACGTGATTTACTCACTTTTTGTTATATTTCTTTTTTAAACTCTAGATATTAACTGTGGCTAAGTCTGTATGGCAGAAAACTCTGCCTAATAACCGAATACATGTAATACCATTTGTTTTCTTGCTATAATCGTATTTCCTTTCTTTCATTCTTGCACACACAGGTACTTGGGTCTTGGTTTATAAATATGTATGTACCTTATTGATATGTTAAAGATGTACTTTACCTTTTTTTTTTACATATCAATAAGGTACATACATATTTATAAACCAAGACCCAAGTACCTGTGGTTGCACAAATAAAAAAAAAAATAGAAATATGAGTGCCATTAAATGTTAGAAACTCCAAATTACGCTAAAATATGAACTGCCAAAGCTTATGTCAGGAGTCCTCTTTTCTATGACGAAATTCTTAAAAATCTACAATGATTTCGATACTTTTCAAACAAGAGTGAATAAAAGTAGCACCTTATGAACAGTTTTCAATAGTTCGGATACTTTATAGTTAAATTATGAGGAATTTCGCTAATATTATTCTCGTTTTTTAGACCTTGTCACAGCAAAATTAGTCCTGGTTTGTGACCATTTGTTGTCTTATGCCCCGTACAATGATAACAAGGTGTAGCAGTTCTATTTTTATATTCCCAAAGTACGTGTTGCAGTTTTGAACAGGAAACAAAGGTTCATTTTATTTGTGTAAAACTTGCCCCATTTTTCTCACTTGGAAATTCAGAAGTTCAGTATGGCTTTATCACTATGAAATTGCCAAGAGAGCGGACCATCTATATAATATACATGTATGTACCTCGTTGTTGAAATAAAATCTTGTTTACAGTATTCTAGAGTTTTCATTCACCTAAAGGTCTGTCAGTTCCTGATTTTGTCTAAAGAAAGTGAATTCTCGAAAAAAGGATTTCGTGTGAAAATCGAACAACTAGTATTATTTAGAGAACGAGACAGGTACTGTTTTGGGGTGGACGAGTGCGTATATAGCACGAGTCTCCACCCCAAATTTGTATCTACGATACAGAACCTGTCGAGTTCTCTAAATGATTTGTGACACGATCAATCAAAAAAAGCACCGCCCACTTCATACCTGTGCAGCATCCAAACTTCCGCCAGAGTTCGTTTGTTCTTTCTGTAGATGAGGCCTCGACAGGGAGTATACATCCGCAGTATATATATATTTTCACGGACAACGTAAGATTTAGTCAGATTAGTTTTGACAACGGGGTAAGACGTAACAGACTCGAAGTCAGTCTTAATTGATAAGGTGGACGATTTAACTGTTTAACCTTGTTGTAAATGGAATTTGATCCGAATTATTTCAGGGGTCTTAAAATCTCAGTTAACTATATAGATACACATACAGGGCATACAGATAGTTTTTCGATGGACTTTGATGTTACGGATTTTCATTTTCTTATTGAAATGCGACATTAAAAACGAAGTGAAAGAGATGTGCGGCAGTCGTCAGCGATAAGGATTTAAGATGAAATTAAAAAAAAAAAAAATCCTAAAAAATAGACTTGATTGAGTTTACACGAGAAGAGTGGAAAATGGGGGGGGGGGGGGAGGGGGAGTGCGAATTTCACGTAATGTATGCTGCATCCGCGAACCGATTGGCTTTACTATTTTGAAGGGGACACAAAAAAGCAGGGAAAGCAAACAGGTTTTCAGGAATTTCTCCAACATAGGATGTTTTCCATAATTGCGATTTTTCCTTTTCGTTTGGATCGAAATAACGTGTAGATTCTGTGTGGAATAATTTTTTTAAAAGTGATTGAGAAATTTTGACATTTTACATTCCTAAGGAAATATTTCTTCAAATTTATAACACAGGTGCTTGAGGACAGGACCCTCCCTCCCTCCCCCCCCCCCCCGATACAGACCCCCGGGCCTGTTCGACTTTTTCTCATAAATTATATATGGCTGACACATTTATGATATAATCTCTATATCAGCAATTCGGAAAATTGACTTAAAAAAACATTTTATAAAAATTACTTCCCTACCCTATATATAAAAATTTATATATAGAGTGGGGTAGATTTTATAAAATTTTTGTTTTAGGTAATTTTTCCAATTGTTGGTATAGATTATATCACAAATATGTCATTGAAGGATAATTTATGAGAAAAAAAAGTCGAAAATGCCCGGGGGTCTATATTGGGGGGGGGGGGGTCCTGTCCTCAAGCACCTGTGATTTATAATAGGAAAAAAAATCAGCATTTACTATTTGTACGTGCTTTTGATAAGTTGAATCAGATTTATTTTTAGACCGTGCTGTATTTTAGATGTAGAACAGTTGGCTAATACAAATACAGTATACAGAGCTAATACAGAACGGAAAGTAGCTCCGCCCACTGTATTTCTGTTCTGTATTGCTAATACATAACAGCAAACTTCAAAGAAAAACACCACAATCGTGTCACAATATTGTAATACTGTACAATGTCAAGGTGCAATATGGTAATAATCCTCAAAATAATAATTTTAGTTATCAGAAGTCACTAAAATACAATAGTCTTGACTATATCAATATTTATTACTGGCCTTGACCTATAGACATTTAACTTCTTCATTTCAACTATGAAATAAAATGGACGCATGTCAACCATTACATTTTATTTTCTAGCAGCCTTTTATACACTAAGGCTTCTCGGTCCCTTAAATTTACAATGTTTGTTTGTTTGTATGTTGTTTAACGTCCCTCTCGAGAATTTTTCACTCATATGGAGACGCCACCACTTGCCAGTGGAGAGCTGCAAATTTTGTCCTATACTCGGCACTTACGGCCATTACTTGAGCAGTGCGGGATCTTTTTCGTGCCAGCACCTACTGCGACACGGGACCTCGGTTTATATGGTCTCATCCGAAGGACCGGTCTCCACGCCCCACAGTGGGATTCGAACCCGCGACGTAAGGATCAACTCCTTACTCCGAGACTCTAGAGCAGACGCTCTAACCACTGCGCCACGTGAGCGACTAAATCACAATGACCTGACGGTGTGTGAAAGACAAAGGATATCTAATTTTAAATTTCTTGTAAACCTTCTCCTCTGTTTTTTGCTATGCTCCCCTTTCCAAGACTGTCATTTTCCCTTACAAAATTTTCCCCAGTGCCCCCATTTTGGCTTATTTTTTATTTTTTTTTTTTTACCCACTTCCCCCGCAATCATGCATATTTTAACGCACATCACCTTGTATTGCTCTACAGTGCGCTACGGTTAAGCGAATGAACATGAACATGTAAATCGGGAACACTTACATCTAATGTTGTTGATATCTACAGCCTTGATAAGATTTTAACCCCCCCCCCCCATATATACACTCCGGGCCATTTTCTCATTGTTTTGTTCCATAAATAATTTTTCTAGCACACATTTAAGTGGAGGAGGTCCTGTCCACAAGCACCTGTGCCCCTATTCAGTATGTGATCACCCATCCCCCCTCTTCAGTATGTGATCACCCATCCCCCTTCTTCAGCTTGTGATCACCCATCCCCCCTCCTACGTATGTGATCACCCATGCCCCTCTTCAGTATGTGATCACCCATCCCCCTCTTCAGTATGTGATCACCCATACCCCCTCTTCAGTATGTGATCACCCATACCCCCTCTTCAGTATGTGATCACCCATACCCCCTCTTCAGTATGTGATCACCCATGCCCCTCTTCAGTATGTGATCACCCATACCCCCTCTTCAGTATGTGATCACCCATCCCCCCTCTTCAGTATGTGATCAAAAGTAAAACAAAAGTTAGATGAGACATTTTATTAATCACAACTTATAAAAGATGTACAGAATGATAACGGGAAAATCAACACAGTAATTAACATCCAATGTTTTGAATAATTTTTAAAAGAACATTAAATAAATAACTCAATTACCTAAGAAACAAGGATTTTTTTAATGTGAAATTCACAGCAAAACTAGAAGGTTCATATTCATGAAATGTAAAAGATATTGATGAACTGTAATACAGACAGATAAAAAAAACAAAACAAAAGGCACACCCGAATCACAGTTGGATAATAAACAAAGTGTAAATAATCAAATTATTTTAGAGAAAAAAAGAGACTAAATTAAGGCCCTCAACAAGCAACTTGCACTTATCAGAAAAAACATCTTTTAAGTCAACAAAAATATATAAATATATATACCCGGTATATACAAAAATACATCATTATTCTAATAGAATTAAAATCAAAATGCACACAAATACTTGTAAAATTATCACAGTTCATATAACATATAAATAAAGTCTCTAAATATAAGGACGGAATATTAGTGAAATCTCTATGTAAAAAAATTTAACTTTCACATCCTTTGTGCAATGTATTCTAACCAACAAAAAATCCATTTAAATGCTTTAGAGTTGTCTGCCTTTTAATCATTCAGTTGACACAAGAGGGCAGCACCTTTAGATATCCAGTAGTCTTGAGGCTGCTTAGAAGGCAGATGAACAAACACCACAAAGTTAGTGGAATGCCCTGCAAAAAAAAAATATGGTGAGCATATCTATGAGTAGCATTGCTACATGTATGTGACTGCTGTGTCTATATAAAACTGTAAAATGAAGTTAACTGCATAAAAACTAGAAAACTTGAAAAAAAAATCTCAAAAGTTTGGTTTTTTCAAAATGCAGAGAAAAAGATAATGTAACTTTAATTTTGTAAGGCTCCGTGGTTTATGCAGTCTTACTAAAGAGGTGTAATAGTAGGAAGATGGATGGGAAGAAAAACACTGTGAGATAAAATATACATATCAATAACAGTTCTATTTGGAGAGGTAGTTTAATAATAAATGTCCAAACAGGTCCTTGATCTCCTGAGTATAAAAATCTTGACAGTACTCTAACCTGTATAACAATTATTTACATGTATCTGTATATCATGAATTACCTGTTGTGGACAGGACTCCAGCCCTGGCTGAGGTTTTGTACAGTGGGGCAATATAGTCTGCCTCATCAGGAACAAAGTCCATCTTAGGCTCCATGTGGAACATACACAGTGCTGAGTTCATTATGCCTTTAATGGAGTCTGTGACCACCATTTCCTTCTCATCCCAGCGGAATCCATCCATAAACATTCCATGGACCAGGACACCATCTTGAGGAGTGGGCAGCTGCAGGAAAATTCAAATATTGTTTTTTTAAATATTTTTAAAATTTAAACTTTAATCCTTTATTGGGTTGAATTTCATGACTTTTTTTTAAAAAAAATGTACAGTAAACATCATTGAAATATTTTTCAGATATGGCGCCCCAAATTTTCACAATTCCAGAGTTTCAAATGCTGTAATACAGTGCTTCTTACTTCTTTGTCCAGTTCAATCTCCTCCCCAAATTTGAGTTCCGCCATCTGAGCTGTGACCTCTTTCTGATCGCGGAAATGAGGGAGAGGGTGGAAATGGAAGGTAAGGTGATCAATGGGAAGGTTGTACTTCCTGGCATAATTCTGGAGGGTACCAGTCAAGAACCCTAAACGAGAGGGGGAAAAATCAATATTGGCAGTATATATACTCACAATAAACTCTTTACTTAAATATTCAATAGCCGTAAGTGCAATGCAATGGGATTTGACAGCCCCTGAGGTTTAGTAATTTAGATGAACCAATTATCTGATAAACTCACAATGTACAAATATATATATAGCCATTTTTTAAAATATAAGTATTAAAAAACGAAAACAAACCTTGAGGGAAGAAGAACCCAGACATCCAGAAAGATTTGGGCTGTCCGTGCCTGACCCAGTTATCAATGAAGGCACATCTGTAAATGAGGTCATTGACCCAGCTACCCAGGGGCTTCAGGGAGGGGTAGGCAGCGTTAGCCCACAGGCTGGGAACCTGACTGTTGATGAAGGCTTGGTAGACAAGTTCTAACTCATCACTCATCACAACAAAACCTTTGATGGCCTTCTTCAGCTGATCAAGAGAGTTCTACAAAACACAAATGGAAAAAAAATCTCTATAAAAATATATTGTAACAATGTGTTATATTAATATTTATCTAAGAAGATTTGATAGGTATGAGTCTTTGTATGAAATAAAAACTCTTAAAATGAATTTGTTGTTCCAATTTGTTGAAAGATATTCTGTTCATGGTACATAGAATGGATTCATTTGACTCACTATGTCAATTTAGAACTGGAGACATATTGCATCTTGTATTTGAGAATAGTGCATAAATAACCTTGACCTCTACTAACCTTGATGACCTTAAGGAGCTTGTTAAATCTGTCCACTTCTTGAGTCAGTACAGTGGTCAGTGAATTCAGTCGACCTTTCTCGTCTGGCTCAAACATTTCCTGATTGGCCTGCTCAATGTCGAGTTTATCCATCAGTTTACCCAGAATGCTCTCCGCTAACTCGTACACAATCTCATCGTTGGATTTTCCAGTACCACCACTAGACTGACGGGGTTGGACATCCAGAATGGTCTGGATCAGGTGGTTAGTCTCCTCTGCCTGGAAAATACATTCATTGTTTTTTTTTACAGCATTCAGTCATTTACAGCATTTATTTATTTACACCAATTATGTTGATTATTAAGCTCAATTTCTTTTTACATATCTTCTTCAAAACTTGGAGAAAATATCTTTAAGAACAAAAATTTAAAAACTTTATTATCATTACCTGGAATGCAATGTTAGCATTTTCATGCATGCCAAATATCTCGGGTTCGTCATTAATAGGTAGAGTCTCTATATAATCTCTGTATTCCTGTAGTGTAGGGTAGTCAGGGGCATAGTATATACCTGTAATAATTAATAACAGTCAGGGACATAATTTATACCTGTAACATTTCACAAAGCAACATAATTTATTTCACAATTAATTTCTGTAATTAATTAACTTCATCTTAACATCACAAATTTTCAATGTAGGATTGTTATATAAGAAATAAGCAACAAAAATATCTATGTATTCTGCAGCAGAGAGAAAAGGTAGGGGCATGTAATGGAAATTATATACTCCATTTGTAAATGTGACATTTATCAAGCAGGGACATAGTGACATCATGCACAAATGTTAAAACTGCAGTACAGTTGAACTTAAGTATCTCAAACACTGATATCTTGAATACCATGTATATGTCAAAGTCCCAGTCACTTACCCTTTTAGTTTTTTTTACCCTCGAAATCTCAAATCCTAGGATATCTCAAATTATTTTATCAGTCCCATTGAGTTCTAGATAATGAGGTTTGAAGTATTTGAACTTGTTACAGTTTATAATTTCTTGGTGGACTTGTTTATGGAGTAAGTATTAACAAGTCTGTAGGTTTACCTGAAGGTGAGTACTTGTAACCCTCCTCCAGGGTGTTGGGGTAAAAGAAAGTCTTTAGGATGGTCTCCAGACATCTCTGATCAATAGCATCCGTCACACGACCTCCATAGGTAATCTGAAACATTTGTACAGAAAACTTTTATAACATCCTTTGACAATAAATAATTAGGAATGAAGGGGATCTAAACAAAAATGGAGGATAAAAAACACTTCATTTACAGCCACCGTCTATGCAACATCATTATTTTAACAATTATCAATGTGAAATCCACAAATAGTTACATTACACTTTTTTTTTATTTACATGTATAAGTACCTGATTCACAACAAATATTTATAAGCTAGGTAATAAAAGCAGAAGATTTGAGGAGGTAAATATATTGTACAATATAAAATTGTCAGATATAAAGGATATTTCACATACTTAAAAATATTGCCTATAGATGTGCAACCTCCTAAATTGTATATATTAGATTTCTAGTAATATTTTTACAAAATTTATTACATGTACGACACCTGAAACATTTAGAATGATACATACCATGCCTGTGATGTAGATAAGGGCATCCCATGGAATGACTCCTTCTGCACAGAACATCTGACAATTCAACTGAGCACACTCACGATCACTGTCACTGAACTCATACTGAAATCAAACAGAATATCATCAGACTCAAAATATCTTCATAGTTTAACTAAGCGCACTCAAGATCACTGTCACTAAACTCACACTGAAATCAGAATAATTAGAGACTCATAAAATCTGACAGATAAACTGAGCACACTCACAATCACTGTCACTAAACTCATACTGAAATCAAACAGAATATCATTAGTAACTCAAAACATCTGACAGTTCATCTGAGCACACTCACAATTACTGTCACTAAACTCATACTGAAATCAAACAGGTTATAATAAGACTCGTAACATCTGACAGTTCAACTGAGCACAATCACTCTCACTGTCACTAAACTCATACTGAAAACAAACAGAATATCATTAGTGACTCAAAACATCTGACAGTTCAACTGAGCACAATCGCAATCACTGTCACTGAACTTATACTGAAAACAAACAGATTGTCAGAGACTCATAACATCTAATGATTCAACTGAGCACACTCATGACAACCAAACTCATACTGAAATCAAACAGATTATCATAACACTCATAAAACCTGAGAGTTCAAATAGTAGTGAACCCACTCAAACTGAGAAAAATAACATTGATCATTTCTGTCATTCAATAAAGCTAACTTACTGTAACTTTCTAATACCATTTTGCAATTTTCAAAAATAGTTCTGGACAAATTACACATTTGTTTTTGCAAAAGAATATCTGGAGAAAAATATACCCGGTACCTCAACCTTAATACTGATTTCATGACTTAACTATAGCAACAGTTCTTTAAGGAGGAGGTGGCTAAAAAAAGAAAATGAGGCTTACCCTGATGTTCCAACCCAGAGGACCAAACTTCTTCCTCTCCAGAATAACAGCGTGGAAGAAACAGACACCGAAAATCATCCTCTTCCACTTGGATCCAAGCACTGAAAAGGGTTACAGTTTAATATCAATAAAATCAGTAATCAGACGCCACAGCCATTGGGGGATGGACCCCCCCCCCCTTTCATTTCTTTTTTGGAAATGGAATCCGAAAAGAGGGGGATCCGTCTCCCCAAGTGCATGTGTCAGAGGCCAGCAGTTTACATACTTGGTCAAAATTCAACATAAATTTCTGTTCATTGAAATTTACTTTATCTTGTATGATGGGGTGTACATGTACATATGATAGGTCAAGAAAGTATTTCAAGATAAATTAAATCAAATGTCTCTAAATAAGTTTTAGTAGAGATTTTTTTTAAATATTGTTTCTCTGCTTTGGAGTTCTTATATTTCACATCTATATTGACAGCTGACATAACTTCTCAACATTTTTACATATGTAACTTTATATTGACATATTTCCAACTATCAATAGAAACACATTTTAAACATACTGATTTCAAGCCTTCTTTATCTTACTGAAAAAAAAAAACAATGCTAAGTAATCAAAAAATTCTACATACCATGCTCTTCAAAGAACTGAGGTGTAATTTCAGCAAAAGCTCTCCTCATGTTGGCACGGATGCCCTTTGGTGGTTCATTGGTGACCTTGACACTGTTCTGAAGGACACTAACGGGAAAGTGTCTGGCAGGCATGGAACTGAGGAAAAGACGGAAGTCCTCGTGAATTTCGTCTGGTTTTTCGGACATGCCTTTAACTGTGTTTTCCATGGCCAACATCCAAGATGCTGCTAAGTGGCAATTCTGAAGGAACACCCAGTCACCCGTTTTTACGGCAGCGTGGATTAGTTTCTCGGCAACTGGACCTTGACCTTGACCCAGAGAGATGGACTGTACTCTATAAAACATTTAATTGAAGTCAGTTTACATGGTACACTCTGTATATACTTCTATATATCATAAGAAATATTTTGTTAAAACATGATTCAGTGCACCATAACACTAATATCCATGATAATCATGATTTATGACCAACAATAATAACTGCTCTGCTTACTTGTCTGTATATCCTTTGTCTCTGGCAAACCTGAGGAATGCCCCCATAGGATCTGACCCGGTGCTGAGTACAAACACAAGGGGGGTGATATTGTTCATGTCGTCGTAGAGGGTCTGAAGGCCGACGGGGGGACTCTCCACGAACTTCTTACCCAGGTTCTCACTCACAAACTCCGTCACAGCAAAGATTGTCTAAAAGGCACGAGGAATTTACATTTGTGATGATATATTTACAAGAGAGACTTTCATATATCTGTGATATAGATATAGAGGTTCATTTCTTCTCCAACATATCATGCACTGGGATCATGGAATACACTCAGGCTTCAATCTTAAATCTATATATTAATCATGTGAAAATTCTTAATAATTTCAGAATTTTCAGATACCATACACGTTCATTGAAAAAAAAATCATTTTGTACTGCTTGCCCTTTACACCATTTTGGGAAAATGTACAGATTTTGATTTTAAACTGTCTTATCATCCTTGGTCTAGAAAGAAAATGATTTTTCTCTTCAAGAATTTTACAAGAGCTGTGAGAAAAGAAGCAAATATTCTTACTTAAAAAAGGAGTTAAAAATTAAATTTTAAATTTCTTAAAGGTTTTTAAAAAGGCCTACCTTCTCTGTTTTGAAGACTTTGATGAACATGAGTTTCTGGAAGCTGGTCAGCCTCATTTCCCAGTGACCCTTAGTTTTGTCTGATTCCATGTCCTCCATTGCTCCAGGTACCCCCTGAGGCTCGGCAGGAAGAGCCTCATAATCTTCATAAGTTTCAGGGTTAGCTCGTACCTATAATATTTTAAATCATATCTCAGATAATTCAGATACTCTACAGTGATCTTCATTGACTAGATTGACTACTATCTCCTTTTTTTAGCACTAGGCATACAGCTATAACTGCAGCAACATTTTTGCCATTAGTTGGATTTCAACTTTCATTCTCATACCTCCAGATAACATCATCCAGTAGATTAAATCATGTATGTGATTGTATTTCTTTAAAGTATTTGATTTCTGAATCAAAAAACAATAATATTCTGCCTAATAGAGACAACCAATTAAGCTAAGGGAGTTTCAGTACTTTCAGTACTTTGATTTAATTTTTACCTCAAGAGATCCCAGTTTAATGAACACGGGTGTCTTTGTGAGGTCCTTATGAATTCCCTTAAATATTGGGAAAATCTCATTGAGATCAAAAGCATTATTCCAGACTTTGACGTTATTCAGGAAGGGAGCAGTGGGCATGCCTGGTCGCTCTTTGTCCATTCCCGCTGCGCCGCGGAGAAAGAAGTTCCACTCAGCAGGAGTTATCTTCTCTTCCTGTTTCATGATCTCGATACACATCATGAAGGAGAAGACAAGTTTATCTTTCTCAAATAATCCTCTGTAAACATACAGAAAATACAGGCTTGTAAAGTGTTACGCTCAATTTGATGAAACAGTATAAATAATGCAAATGATATGGAAAATCTCTTGATAAAGCTAGCAGGCTTAAATTCTAACTTATCAATTTTTTTTAAAAAGTCTTTTGAAGAAAAATACTATGACTTGATTATCTTTAAAAAAGTGTAGATTAAAAAGAATACTTTCAATGCATTTTATGCATAAACACCTTATGGGAAAAAATGATGGATATGTAAATTTACTTAGCAAAGTACACAAGAGTAACACAAAGGGCAGTTAAAAAATTGTAGCGATAGAAATAAGTACACGGCATAAATGTGCATGACTAAACCCTTGCTCACGGTGTGGTTAATTGATCAAGTCTATACATTGAAGTCTATATAAAGATATATATAGATATAACTGCTTACCTGGCTACATTGTTATAGATTGTCATGGTTGTCTCCCTTAGACAGATTGCTAATCTCTCGGCTAGTTGGTCACTCTTCTCTGACGTCTCAATGGTGGCATTAAACAGCTGTTAAAAAACAAAACAAGCTGTGAGTTACTCTGTAAAAGCTTATAACTAACATAAATTCATACTATATAAATAGATAAAATGAAGTTGTTTACTACCTATGGATTAGAACAAGATATAAAATTTTGATCGAAGTGCACTATTTTCTTAGCAATTCAGCTTTCTACATTTTGCTCACTTTTTCACTTAGCACTCATTTGTACATTAGCGCTCTGCTCCAGTTGCACTCTGTGCTCACTTTACATATACACTGTTCCTTAACAATTCATTCTGCTTGCGAAATTTCACTTCACTAATTTCTGTACATTTTGTTCAGCATTACAAGTGTGGTAGTAAACGGTTCAATGTATATTGAGAAAGTTTGCTTAATTATTACCTGTTTGAAATACTTGAGTGAGAACTGGTACATGGGGTCCACCTCTCCCATACTGGCCACCACAAAGTACAGGACAGAACCACGCGTGGCCACTGAGCGATACTTTTCTCGAGCTGTATTAATTTTCTCCTCAGTTATTTCGGCTTCATTCAGCCTCTGTTTGATTACTCCTGATGTTACCTAGGCAACAGGAAAAATAAAAGAGTTATTTTTTTTAATTTCATCTTGATGCCTTGTAAAAAGTATTCAATCAACATTTATTTCCAAAATGCTATAATACCATTAACAGTATTTTTACCAATACAATTTTCAAACGTTTTATTAGAATTATTTTGCAGTAAAACAATATCCATTTGGAAACTGGAATACAGAATTCATGATTATTTCATCCCATGTTATTTTCACCCTGTCATACTTGTATACAACTTTGCCATATAAATTTAAAGTTGTGTTTAAAGAGAAATAACTCTAGCCTCTGTCAGTATTGAGTTTGCCAACTGAAATAATGCAGTGACAAAACTTCTTTCTACTTGCAGTAAAACTTGTTCCAAGGTACATGTAAATAAAATTGAAGAATAAAAACCTATTGAAAAATTCATTTAATTACCTTGGATTCGTTAAGAATGTTAATAAGCTCCTCATTATCGAGAATATTTCCCTGTGACTCAAACAGCAGCTTCAGGATCCTGTCCTCAATAGCGTTTAGCTGGTTCTTATCGGAATTGATCTTCACGATTAACTGGTTCCTCTGTTCCTCAAGATCGGGTCTCTCTAAGCCTACCACATCACTAGAAAGGAGAACACATATGACATTATAGTGTGTCATGGTAATTTATCAACAGGGTAATTAAACAGTATGGTAATTCATTGCTCGGTAATTTAACAGTACAGTACTTTTTACCAGCTTGATATTTATTACAATTTGGCAAATTCATGCACATTTAGGCAACACTGACGTAAAATCTCCAGAAAAGCCCAAGCATATAAACATATTGTGAAACTATAACATAATAATTTTACAATACATAGTAGAACATAGCAAATAGTACTCCATTTGAAAAAAAAACCCAACCCTATGTTTGAAGTGAATTTTTTTGCTATAAGAAAATAGATTTACCTGAGCAGCTGATCTTCCAGACCAGACAGAGTGACAGTGAAGTTGATAATGGTGACCTTGATACAGACTTCCGGCAGGTAGTGGGGGTTGGCCATCTTAGACGTCATAAAGAATCGGAAGTTACGATCGTAGTCAATATCGCTATCTCCTAATCGGATCAGCAGACGACCTCCCTATTAACAATTAAAGAAAATCATATCAAATCAGTTCTCTATTGAATTTACCACACAGAAATCAATTAATCAAAATTATTTTGATTATTATGTTAAATTCATAATTAGACTGAGCAGCAGGCATGGCTTCTATATGTTTAAGCCTTTTTCTACAGAATTAGGGGGAAAAACACAAAACTTGTACTCGTAAAAACTGAATGAATAAAGAAAACCAGCCATGAAAAAAAATCAAAGAGATTGTTTACACACAAAACTATAATCCAGCACCCAAGTTTGTTTTTTTTTTTTTTAAATCATGGGTCACCCCTACTGTTACTTACAGACATGAAGGTCTGTTTAAGGAGCACAGGCTCCAGGGCAGGGTCCAGGGATTCCCCGATGTCCTCACACAGGACGGGCATTCCAATACGGATACAGTTCTCCAGGGTACGCAGGAAGTTACCATCTGTCAGCTTAATGATCTTCAGGCCGTTCTTAGCTTCCTTATTTCTGATCCATCTGTTAGCCTGGAGAGGGAGTATATCATAATATTAAAACCTGGAAATTTCCTTGACAATGTAATTTAATCCATTTTCTAAATAAATATATTGAAACAGAATCAATATCCCTCGATAGAATGAAAAAATTTATACAGCACTTCAGAATATCACCATGTGATGAGACAGTTTATTCAGTATAAACTTAACTTTTTATCCAATCAAAATAGGTTTAAACACCCACAATAAAATTATTTAATCACAATTTTCTTTCCTAGTTGTTATCATATAAAAAGTAAATGATAGATCCAGGAGGGGGGCTTTGGCTGAGCTAAAAACCAGTGTCATTGTTAATCATATCTGTAATTCTAGAGCCACCAATTAAATACCATGTGTAACAGAGATGGGGTAATTGAAAGAAGCAATTGTAATTGACCGTAATTAATTACATTTTTTGAAGTAATTGGAAGTAATTTGTAATTGAACATTTTTTCAATTACTTGTTATTGTAATTTAATTAATTACACTGAAAAATACCTTGTAATTTCAATTACATTCAATTACTTTATATAATACACATTCATGATATATTGTCACCACTACCTCCCCATTTTACTGTCTTTTATTTTATTGTAAAACAATAATAATCAATCCTTCAATTATACAAAATCTTAAGTTAATGTTTACAAGCAAATAAATGATTGGCTTGATAATAATAATCAAGTTTCTTTCTAACCATTGTGTAAAATTTGAATTTTTTATTTTATGTTTATCAAAATTTTGTACCACCCTTCTTAAGTCAGCTATGAAACACACATTTATTATATTTCAATCTTTGTTGTTGGTCAATGATAAAGAAAAAGAATGTGTGTGTCATGAATTAAGTTTCTCTTGTTAGAAAGAGATAATTGCCCTCCAAATCACAGCTGTAAATTGCAATCAAAACAAATCAACTCCTCTAAAGAGGTATTCATTCCATGATTTAGAAGACAAAGCCAATGGCGATAATTATTTCAATTAAAAATGCTCCGCTAGCTTTAGAAAATAAAATCTTTCAATTTGATAATTATTTTAACATCTTAAACAGATTTTTAATGAATAAATTTTGTTTCTGAAAAAGTTTTTTCTGTAGAAGTATTGTTTATGAAGTAAAGATATTCACCATAAATACAGTCCCTGAAACGTTCTACTTTCCCATTTTTCTGTTCGCTCACCGTTCGTTCACCGTTCGTTCAGCGTGCGTTCACCGTTCGTTCAGCGTTCACCGTGCGCTCGCGTTCACCGTTCACAAAGCGTTCAGCGTTCGCTCTTCGTTCCGTTCACTTTGCGTTCACCTTGCGTTCAGCGTTCCCCTATCGTTCAGTTTTCATTGTCATTCGGAACTCCGAAGTGAAAGGACTTATCTTTTAGTAGTTAAGGAGTTACAGGTTTTTTAATTAATTAACTAACATTTCGTGTTTGAAGAATCATTATTTCATGAGGAAAAATATCTACGATATATATTTTTATTATTACTCTGGAAAATAAATGTTGTTACAAGCACATTCTGTACCTATGTAGAACGATGCTGAATTATAAATTTAATTAAGGGCAATGTGCAAATACTTCAAGCACTGCAACATTTTGTTGTTTTGTTAAAGACGACAAATCGTTAATGGAGATATAATTATCCAAGTCAAATAATTACGCAGCAAAATTACGAAAGTATTTATTTCTAATACGTTTTTTTTTCAATTACTACAGAAAATATGATAGAACTAGTTCTGAGAGATATATACATAGTACTGCGGATATCCTGTTAATTTATTATCTTTGGAACGAATTAAATTGATAGTGCGGTTAAAGAAAATATTTATTTAAAATGTAATGCACTACAGAATTTTCTCTACTATAATATATAAAGTCAATAGTTATAGAGAAAAAATTCTTTCTTCACTGTAACTTTATATGTTTGCCATTCGATATGATTAATATCCCCCCCCCCTTTTCCCCCTAAATCGGTTACTTAGTCAGTACCGTATTTCCAGAATATTTTAATTAACATTTTTTAAAAAAAGTCACGGTCTTTTTTAGAACAAAAATTTCAGTCTCAAAACAAACATGCATCTAAAAAAGTCAAAAAATAATAGTAGTTCAAAATGTACATGTGTCGGCGGTGGTATTTGAAATTGGCAGAGAGTATATTTCAAATTCAAGTGTTAATGCCCAATGTATTTTATTAATTTATTATTCAAATATTGGAATCAAATCTAGAAATGATAAAAATAAATGTTATATCTTAAAAAACGAGTATGACTGTCAAACAAATGGATATGATTTGTTGATAATAAAAAAAAAAGTTACTTTCACTGTCTGATATATTTAGAAAAAAAATTCTGAGTTTTTGTTTGATATAGGTACAAACATTTAGTGAAGCCTGAAAGGAGGGGGGGGGGGCTTAAACTGAATATTATTCTCTCTCTCTCTCTCATTTGTCTGTTTAATAAAAATTATAACAGCATATTACTTAAATATCAAGTTCTGAAATTTGAATTTATAACAAATAATATGAATATGTAGCTTATTTGTATCATCTTGTACGAGTATAATCACGACCATCTAGAGATACATGTAGAAGTCTGCTCAATAAATCATCATGAAAAATAGAAATGACACATAATATATTATTGTAGTAAATATTTTAAATACGAGCGTATAAATGCAAAAAAGGTCCACTGACCTTTGTAATTAATTTTTTTTCATTACTTTACACGAAATCGCCTTGACACGGAGATATATGTATATGATTGGATGTTACAATCGCTTTAATTCATTGTATAAGTCATAAGTTTTCTCTGATTTGTTATCAAATAAGAGTAAACATTTTTATTTTCCAACTAAACAAAATATCTTTTATACTTCAGCGTTCGGCAACAATTGCAATGTTTTAATGCGATAAAATTCGTGTGATTAAAAACTTAATGTGCATGCATCGTCTTTCTTACGACAATTTTGGAGAATTTTTTCTTGACTTATTTATTCATTCAGTTACTGGTTTACTTATTAATATTATTTATTTATTTGGCTCCTGACATTATAATACAATTAAATAGTTTCAGTGCAAGGAAAAGATCAGAGGCATTCCGAATATATCCTCCATCTTGCGTTCACCGTTCGTTCACCATTCACTTTGCGTTCGCGTTTGCGCTCCGTTCGCGTTCTGCGTTCGCTCACCGTTCACCATTCACACATCGTTCACCAAGTTGCGTTCAGCGTTCACACATCGTTCACTCACCGTTCGCTCTGCGTTCGTTCAGCATTCGCTCACCGTTCAAGTGGGAAAGTAGAATGTTTCAAGGACTGTAGCAATTTAGGATTTTCAGGTTACTTTCAAAGGAAATATTTCATTAGAGGGCTACAGTTGCGACTCATTTTACTCTATTAAAATACCCGCTTTTAATCAAATATCACAAGCCATGCAATTTATGTACAGGAGGAAACTGCATCAAACTGATCTTGGCTAGTTCTTTAACATTTTGTAAATAAAAATTATAAATTAAACAACAAAGATACACAATGCTTTAATATAGCATATTATTTCTTGTATTGTTTGTGCAGAGGCTGAGCTTTTATACGAATGAATGATGTTCTGTATATTCATTGACAAGGATTATAAAAAATTTCAAAAAAATTAAAAATGTAATTTGTAATTTAATTAATTACTTTTGCAAAGTAATTGTAATTTAATTAATTACACATCATAGAAAGCCTGTAATTTAATTGTAATTTAATTGAAGAAAAAGTCAAAGTAATTGTAATTTAATTAATTACTTTTTAAAGTAATTGACCCCATCCCTGATGTGTAAGGGTTACCTGCTCTTGAGGGTCAATCATCAATGGCCAGCGACGCCCTCTGGTTACGAGAATTGCATTCTCTGTGGACAGCTGATCTTTAGGAAGTCCATCAGAATTCCACTGTCGAATCTCAAAGGGATCGGCTAAAACTGACACGATGGTCATTCCTGGTGTGACGGGGATTTCTAGTTCTATGCAGCGATTGGTCCATTGTTCAACGAGTTCATGTCTGTAGTTGCTGGTGAAGGCTCCGTAGTAAGCAACGCAGGCTGTGGACACAAATACATCTCCCACGACATTGCCTATCTGCTTGTTGAAGTCCTGAAACCAAATTTTTTTTTTAATTTCATTTTTCAGAATTTTTATTTAAAGTGTTTTTTTTATTTCATATATCAAAATTTTAATTTCAAAAAAATATCAAAAATTTATCTAAATTTGAAACTAATCACATGCAGAAGTCTGATATTTCCAAGATTACATAAATATGAGAAATACTTTATTAATTTATCGCTGCATGTCATCTAATTCACCAAAACAGCAATAAAGAAAATTCCTGTTTTGTCATATACCATGCTTTCTGCTAGCCATATGAGTATTCAAACTACAATAACTAAATTGCTTACCTTTACTGTTTCGGCCCAGCGAATCTGTTCGTCACCAAGGGCTGTTGTCAGTTTAGCGGCACGTTTGAGTCGTGCGGCGGTCGTGGCGATATTCCTCTCCAGCTTCTGTTTTTCTCTGACACTGTTGTCATACGTCGCCTGAAGTTCGGCAATCTTTGCCTCGACTTCTGCCAGCTGGTCCTGTTTCTCCTTCAACATCTTCATTACTCCATCTAACTCCTTCTGGGCCTCTGCCAACCTGTCAATCAAAAAGGGGCGGGGTTAGGCCTTAGCCTTTCTATACCATGTATAATCATTAATATTATATCATTAAATTTGATCAGATATGATTCATCATTAGAGTCATTTAGATTAAAATTTGGACAATTTTTTACTGAATATATCTTTCAGAGATGCGTTATTTAAACCTTTTTCTTTCATCAAAATTTCTTTAAATTTCAAGAAATATTTGAACATAATTGAAGTTTTATACATAATTATATGTAAGTAGAAAGAAATAGACTAAAAGTCAGAAACATGCAATATTATTAGGAAATAATTTTAAACTGATATTTGTTTAATCAGATATTTGTTTAATCAGAATTTAACATACTAAGAGAAAGTGAGGTCATGATTAGTAAAAACTAAATATACAAACTGAGATCCACAAAGAGCAAATCATGAAATGCCATCAAATTATTTCAATTTCATATAGGAAAGATCATAATACAAAACTCAAATGAATGTTTAGGAAAAAGGCAAACTATTATAGAAATGGAAAGTGATTTCCTTTTTTTTTTCTTACGATCTATTTTGTCCTTAACAGAACAAATTTGTGAAGTGCAGAATAGCTAGCTTATATAGAGGGAATGAATACAATATAAAGATAGATAATTTTAAAGTAGAGGAAGAATTACAAGTACTAGTATTCACCTCCATCTAGAATAAAACTAGCTAAAGAAACTGTTCCAGATCAAAAGTTACAGTCTCTACACTAACTCTATAAATATATCTCTATTCTATCTCTAGAACTCTATGTGCATTTCCTAGTCTTACTTCTCTTTTTTAGGTTGGACAAGTCGATAAACTTGTGCATACGTATCCATTGCCAGGACCCACATACACATTGATTTACAGGCCTGTAAACAATTTACAGTAATATGTGAATATGTGATAATGTAACATTAAGAACCCTGGACCTTGATTGCAATAGTTGTGTATTAAATCACCATCGGCATATCACTCCTTCTAAGTCCTGAAATAGCTTAATATTAATTAAGTCAGTTTATCACTAATTGCTAAATCAATTGCCTTCAGATCAGCTATTGGAATTTAGCAATTAGATAACACTCCTAACAGATGGTTTATTCTTTATTACAGAACAAACAAAAATAAAGCCTTCAATAAAGCAAAAGGAGCAACATGGTAAAAATTAATAGGCATCCGAATTTCCTGAAATCTTTAACATCTTTTGGAGATTCTGTGAAGCAGAATAGCTAGTGCTTAATCAAACATGGAGATACATGTAACCAGCTGAAGTAATAATTAAAGCTCAAAAATCCATGGAAACAATACAAATCAGGACCAGAGCTAATATGGACCTCTAAAAACATCAGGGGTGGGATCAGGTGCCATGGAGTATTAAGCATCCCCTTAAATTAATTTATACTCATGATTGCTCGTTTTGCAGTGAAAACAAAAATGGACGGAGTTAGTTACAATTTGGGTTTTCATGGGACATTCATAGTACATATATATGTGTGTTTGCAATTAACCCCCCCCCCTTACCCTTTTTAAAACTTGTTTCACCAAGCAAATGAACCATGATGACCGTAAGCCTCTCTTTTGCATAATTCATGGTGTTGCAAAAGCTAGTCTTTTGGACTAACATACAAAGATGTACCCTAAAATTTAATATTTTGGGGGAAAATATTTACATATATCCCATGAAAACCTGGTAAGACCTGCAGTGTGCAGCATGCCAAACTCATGTGAAACACATCAACATTATACATCACAAACAGTTTATATAACATGGTAAATATGGAAGTGTTGGGGCATTGCAGCAGACTTCACAACTTGTAACACAGCGCTTCACTCTTGTATGGGACTTACTTGGCACGCTTAGGTTCCACAGTCCTGAAAACATGGGAGTAGGAATCCATAGCGAGAACCCACATACACATGGACTTACAGGCCTAGAGAGGAAGGGTGGAGAGAAAAATAGTTAAGGTATTCAACGTATAATGAAGGGATTTTTATCAATTTTGAATAAATTTAAACTATTTAAAAATGCATTGCTAGATAACGATAAAAGTGAAATGAGCCAAATTCACATGACTGATTACAAGTAAGACGCCGGTCATTTTGCACCTTAAAAGCTTTTGAAGAGTTATCTCCCCTTGATTAAAATCAGGAAATTTTTAATTTCTCAAAATTTCTGTGGTAAATGATTCATTTTATTTCATAGACTAATAAAGAGAGAAATTATGCATATTTTCACCAAGAGATTTGTTTGAAATTCAAATTACTTTATACAATATCTTAAAAAAACATGCACTGCCCATAGACTTCAATGTAAAATTCAAGGTGCAATTAACTGGAAAATAATAAAAAATTTTGTAAATTCCTTTGGTGGAGCATTTTAATTTGGTAACACCTTCAAAATGCTACCGTGATTAAAAATATTGGATCATTCATTTTTTAGGTACAAAATATGGTCGTTATACATTGAATACCTTAATGTTTGATAGATAAACTAAAAGACAGCTATATTTTCAAAAGAAATTATAAATTCATCAGAATCATGACATATTATTATATTATGCTTAGAGCAAAGTGATTTTCATTCCTCGTGGCTTTAAAATATATTATAAATTTAATGGATATAACAAATTGCGTTTAAAACGAAGCAAAACCGCCCGTCCCTGGCACTTCGTTATAAGCGTGTTTTACTGTATCCTTGATAATACATGTATATAAAATTACTATTTATTGTTTCACACAAATTTTGGTCAGAAGTTGAAGCATCCGGATTAATACTGCTCCACTGTATATTGATAATAAATCTAATGGCTAGATAATGTACATTATTTGGTCTATATTATTAACAATTCATCGAGAATCAAATTACTTTAATAAAGAGATTATTATATCATTCTCATGCTGAAACTCAAAACTGATGGAATTTTAAATATTACAATATTCAAGGTATAGATCTAGAAACTGAAAGAAAAATTATTAGTTCATTAATTTTATATAAGTGTATATCATTTTAATATAAAATAAAATTCTCTGCTTTAAAACTGTTAAATAAAACAAATTTATTGGACTATATCTTCCCTTTGCAAATTTATGATATATAAAAAGATATGTAAATGCCTTGACTATATCATTATGAACACAATATTTATGTGCATATAGATAAAAACAAAAAACAAATTTAATTTTTCGCTCAAAATATGCCAAAATTATGTACTTCACAGAAAAATAAAATGTACGTTGTATCTGACCAAAATAAAATATAGAAGACAAAAAATATGCACTTTGATCGGTGAACAGAAATCTTTAAATGGATGTACCTTTGAGACTTTTTCTACTTTGTCGGGGACAAAGTTGGGGTTTTCTATGTACTTTTTGAGTTGTTTCAGCATTCTGTCAGGGATGCTGTCCTTGTCGTAGGTCTGAAGGTTCTTCAAGAAGTTAGAATCTCCAAGGAGGACCTTAGCTGATGACCAGTCTGTCCTGAACAATTAAAAAAGTAAAGTTAATAATTTAACATGTAAACTTGGAAAATCACCAGAAACAGAAGACCAATATATAAAAAGCTGAGGTAATTGAAAAAAGAACTTTAAAACAATTTTTTTCAGAGAAATATCTTTTGAGTTTCATCAACTGTCATTTACTTAAACTTGATGTATTAGTTATTTCTCATTGCAATCCATTCCTTTTATTGTGCATTAATTTTATTAATGCAGAATATTTTTTAATGGTATTTGAACTGAGGCATCATTAATAAAAATTATCACAAACAATAATTGGTTTACAGTTTAGGCCATCTATAAAAAAAATTGTTCACCCTCTCCCAACAGACTGACTAGAAACAACCCAACTCAAAACTTTTTTAACCCCCACGAAACAATTTTTTAAAATTCATTCCCAAGTTTTCTCATGTAATAACTATTTTATCATCATGCTTGCCTCATACAATTTTCCTCCCTAACTACCTATCCATTTTTTTTTTATCTGGAGTTGGGTGAGGCCAAGCAAACATTTTTTTTTTGATCCTCCAACTTACTTTGAACCCATCAGAATACACACAGCTTCCATGACAGTTTGTACCATCTCTGGAGGTTTAGCAAATACACGGATCTCAGAAATATCATTCTTATCCAAGGCATCCAGGGCCTTGACAGCGGCCTCCAAGGCAGGCAGGGCCTGGTCAAGGTCACGCTGGGCATCGTCGGCGATAGCCTGAGTTTCCTCTGCCTTGACCTTAGCCACTGCTTCATCTTCCACTACTACTTTTCTGACCTATAATTCAAAACAGAAAACAATGAAAATTTAATCTGCAATTTTCTTTAAGACATACCCCCCCCAAATCTTGCTTACTCCTTGTTTTCTATTGAAATTTCTTAATATAAATTGTTCTATTAAATCATTAATTTATATCACAAATGATATGGAATATGTCAAATAAGTATGTCAAAAAAATGCAAGGACTTTATAAATTAAGGTTTCTCTAGGCATCAAAAATGCTTTCCATATGTACATGTTTCAAATGTAATTCTCTAATAATAAAAAAAAAATTCTATATCTGAGTCATATGATAAATGTGTGCATCACAAGTCAAAAGCTAACATGTAGCTCTCATATAATTCCCATGAAACTCAAAAAAATCATGTCACATGACTCTTGACAAATCACATGACTCTTGACAAATCACATGACCCTGACCTTGTCAGCAGCCTCTTGATCCACCACAAGTCTCTCCATTAAATTGTTTGTGTCCTCAGATTTCTTTTTCAGTTCGGGTTCCAGAGCAATCAACTCTTTCTTCATCTTGTCCACAAGCTCGTTTGTCTCCAGAATCTTTTTCAACCCATTGTCAACACGATCACGGGCCATCTTCAGTTGCCTGAAATTTAAGGTTTTGACTTTAGTATTTGTATGACTCTGACAATCTGACAAATTATGTAGGTGGAAAATGATGAAAAAAATCTCATATAAATCACTGATTAGTATTTCAAATGCACACAGTCAACTCTAAATAGGAGAGAAAAAGAGCTCAAAGGAATGGAAGCACGTTTAAAACTTTGCATTACATAGTCCAGAAAGATGTTTTTAAGTGTACCCATAAATGTGCATTTGGCAATAAATAAAAGGAGGTAACTCACTTTGTTTTCTCCTGCAGCATGGAGAGATAGATTCTGATGAGCTCCAGATAGCTGGTGGGGGTGGTATAATAACGTCGCTTTAGTTCCGAGTAGAAACGCTCAGCCATATCACTCACACTCATATGGATCTCCACACACATCTCTGCTATCTTTTGCTGTATAGACAAAATATTTTCCATATTAGGAAAATATCTGTAATTTTTTTCATAAATTTTCATGCATGTTTATGTAATGTGAAATACAAACGGTATTTCATTAGAGCTTATGTTTTCAATAGTTTTTGACTGTGAGGATTGCATAGAAGGGAATTCCCCTCCTTTATTTACACCTCTTACAAACACTTTTGTTTTTCTCGTCAAATGTGTCTCTTTTTTCTTTCATTCTGCCTCCTCTCTCTTTCTTACTTTCCCCTCCTCTTCCAGCATCCCCCTACCCCCCCCCCTCCTAAAATCAGATAAGAGCTTTTTTTAATCTAACAATTACCTTTAGTGTTTCCTCTCCCAGTTCGACGTTTTCAAAGAATGAAGTTGAGACACTCAACAAGGCCTCCCTGGGCCACTCCGTGAACCAATCAATGGTACAGCAATTAACGAGGGAGGGAAACATACGACAGCGCGTCCTAAAGGAGCTACCCACAGGGCTCATACACAGGACAATATGGAGGTTGTTCCTGGAATGAAAATAAAATATTGTTTCAGTACTATGATGTATCAATATTGTTTACATTGCTCTTTTCATTACTATGACGTATCAATTATAGGCATGCCTGTACTTATGAGTTCTTCAAAATACATTCTGTCTTACTGATACATGTAATATGAATGTAATTAAGTTTGTTAATTATTCAAAATTAGTTTTCTTCTTTTTTTTTTTTTAATTCACATAAAAATGTATTTCAATTCATCCACTTATATTTGTACATACATAGCATATATCCATTTTTTACACACTTTTTATCTTTTTTTTTTTCTCAGAGGAAAAAAAGAACTGTTATATACCTGACTCTGTTTATACAGAAATCATAGATGGCGTCCCTGTTACCCTCAGCAATACCCGCCTCTTTGGCCCCCGGCCTACATCCGATAATCAGCTGTTCATACTCGTCAGGTTCAAACAAGTTAGGCACCTCACCAGAGTTCAGAATGTTATTTATATCCTCTAAGAATTCCTCCACAACAATCTTTTAAAAACACAGAATCATTAGTTATTCATTAATAATTAACCAACGCATCATTAGTTATTCATTAATAATTAACCAACGCATCATTAGTTATTCATTAATAATTAACCAACGCATCATTAGTTATTCATTCAAGGAATGAATTTAATAGCTACCCAAGTTACGAAGCAGTTTATAAAAAAGCGTAAACTGTTCCAACCCAGGTTATACCAGTATAACTTGGGTAGCTATTAAATTCATTCCTTATAATTTAATTTCCCATCATTAAGTGTAAAAAAATAAGACAATTTCTCCTTCAAAAATGCCTTCAAATTGTACGTATTTTAAATGTAACGTCAAGCGGATTGATACATTTTTGAAGTAAGTCATTGTGAAGTAGCCAACCCAGTTTATACAATTTATTCTAATTTTTTTATCCAATCAAATGATGCGTTACAACCAAAATTAATTTATTAATAATTAGCCAATGCTGGAAGTTTATTCCAACAGGTTTCATTATGAGGAAGAAGTTCATAAGTACTATGTAAGAACATAGACTATTGCAGCATGTACATGTATTCTAAAATACTGTTAAAATCCTCTGATCAAACAAAATTATGTAAATTGTCCAAAATTATTGATAAAGGGAAATACATGTAATAGAAAAGCTTCTATTGATAGCCTACTGTACATGCTTATATAAAGGAAGAGATTTTCTTTGTTTTTGACATTTTTCTCCAATTACACAACAGTGAAAACAATAATTAAGACTGAACATTGTTTACCTGTGTGTCGGTAAATAAAAATGTTGTGTGTGTGTTCTGTAATTACCTGTGTGTCGGTAAATAAGAATGTCGTGTGTGTGTTCTGTACTCCCGCATAGTTGTAAAGTTTCTTTAGATCCTCATGGAACTCAGCATAGCCATAACCTCTACTCAACTCAATCTGGACACATTTGTAGTTACAGATATGTGATGCCAATCTAAAAGATGAAATGGAATATTGGAAAACCATCAAATTAATTTGCTTCGAGAATAAAAATATTTGAGGTGTAAGAATTCATTAATTATTATAATTCTCTATTATGATATTTGAAATCTATCAAACTTTTGAATAAATTTACTATAAAGCATTTTAAGGGGAACAACTCTTATAAACACAAAATCTTAAACTGAGAAAAAACACCAGAAAGCATTTAAAGGGGAATAACTCTTACCAAACACAGAATCTGAATCTGATTTAGAAGGAAGACAATTATTAATTACCTTGTCAGTGATTGTTTACCAGTACCACCCACTCCCACTAGGAGGGCGTTACCACGATCCTGTCGAATCATACGAGCAATACGCGACACATGCTCAATGGCGTCCATGAAAAATACCAGCTTCATTTCTTTGGACGAGTTCATATTGTAATCATCCAGATACTACAACACAAAACAGAATATATATAAAAATGCTTACCCATGTAGCATCAAATTATACCAAAAAAATTCAAACTTAAAAATCATTTGTTATACAAATTTCTGAAAATATAACTTGGTTTTTGACTTTAGAAACACTAGACACAGTGACTTACATCTTGTAATACATTAGTAAGTTTCTTCAGATCATTGAGTTCTTCATAAATTCTGTCGGCTTTTTCAGCGCCAATTTTGATGAAGTCTCCAAATATTATAGGATGTGTAGTAAAACTCTCAGGCTCCACATTCTGAAAAAATGTAGATTTTGTAATAATCATATCTAAAGAATATTATTTAAACCATCAATTTCCTTTTTAATCATGTACAAGTAACTTTGTTGCAGGCTTATAAGGAATGATGTGAAATTACTCGGCCTTTTTGCATGAGGAGATGTTTTTTTAAAGCTGTATTTGCCAATTTTATATTTTCAATGAGTTCAGGTTCAGACCCCCCCCCCCTTTATATTACTGCCATGGTTACCCTAACTCCTCCCTTTCTAGAAAAAATTCCTGGATTTAATTATGGACAAGACAAAATTGTACCTCTCCAAAGTGTTTGCTTGCCATCTCAGAGAGCATGGTGTGGAAGTATTTCTTGTCTTCATTGTTGATCAAACGATCATGGAATACTCTCATGGCCTCGTGACAAAAGAGACGGAAGATTTGCTTAGCATCTCGAATAACTCCCGTGTCTGCCTGGAGCAAACCTGAAGAAGGCCACAAGTATTTCGTGATTTAAAATATATTGATCGAGAAATTTTCACCTATTTCTACCCGACATGTGCACCAGATAAATATTGTATTTCTTGCTATGCAGATTTTTTTATGGTTTTCCACAGAATTTTGAGTTTGATGAAAAACATTCAATAAGCTAACCACGTACATACATACTACTTTATACATCTTGGATTTTTTGAAAAATTTATGTACAGTCTGATGAAATTTTACGCATCAATAAAATCTTTTTGGTAGAATTTTAACCTTGGACACATTTTGAGAGATCTCTAAGGTTGAAGACGTAGTGAGATTTAGCCGGGGTGGGTAGGAGATCAGTAGACATTCGGCCATATATCTCCACGGCAGCCTGAACGATCGACTCGGTCGACTGACGTACTGATGTAGGGAAGTCCATTAAAAATCCAGCCAGGATTTGCTGAAATTTAGATACATCAAAATTGAATGCAAATTAATTTTTTGACCTAGGAGATGAAGTGTGAACTTCATGTCAGTTGTACTGCATATTCTGGTATAGGATTTAACTTTGATTTCAAGCTTTGCTAATTTGCGTTATTTCATTCTGATTCAAAGACACCTTAATGTCATCTTCAATAAGTTGGTGATATCTTAGAATCTTTCTTCTAATTGTTGTTGAAACATACAATTTAGAATCCAAGCTTCATTTTAACATGTTTAACTTTACAAAATTTTAGATCTCACCATAAACATGTGTTTAAGACTGTGCTCAGTGGGTGGGGGAATTGATAACATGGCAAAATGACGGAAAAATCTTGGAGAGACAGGATTCCTTCCTCCACCAGGGGGCGCACAAGCAGCGGATAATGTCACGTCCTGTATTTCCTTCCAGAATAATTTCTCTCTGTCGTACATTCCTCCAAAGTCCTGGTACTGCCTCAGTAACTCAATGGGTGGCTGAGAGCCATATGTGTCAAGTTTAGGCATGTTCAAATCATCCACAAAGATTATCACACGTTTGCCGACTGGGGCACCAATAATGTTCTTTCTCCTTTTTTCGAGTTTTCCTTCAATCATTTCTTGGGTTCTCTTGCTGCTTGTTTGAGCGGAGAAGTTAATGAACTGAGGAACGTAGCTGGCCTTCTCAGCGATGCCATTCAGAAGTCCTCTTGCAATCACAGACTGTCAAAGAAGAAAATGTTTTTTTATATACTGTAAGTTGTTTCATTTTTTTTTTTCAATGATCACTATTATTCAATGTTTTCATCGTTGAATAAGTCCAAGAAATAAAGCACCTGTAATCAATGAACTACAAATTTAATTATAGAATAAAACTAGGTACATTTAGCTATTGACACTGGAAATGAATCCACAAATTTACATATCAAAAAATTTTATTTTTTGCCACAATCAATAAAAAGTTAATGAATCCACTGTTTAATTTCTGATCAATGTTTTGGGGCTTGATTGCTCAAACTCTTGATCTATCAAAAGTTTTGGGTGATCCAGTGATCTCAAAGTTTTTGGACATGCAGTCATCTGTACTTTGAAAATACAAAAGCAGAACTCACTTCAATACAATTGCAAAATTAACAAGCAACAAGCAAACTTGAATTACCTTTCCAACACCAGTACCTCCAGTGTACAATACAGAGTGTTTAACAGACAGGAACTTCTCCAGCAGGTAACCAAATCTGACGGTATCGATAGTTGGCACCAACATTTCAAAGAATGGCACCTCTCTGTCGTATTTGAAGGGAGGGACGATCTTCTCCCATAAGTCCATGCGGCGGGTTTCAAAGTCCATGTAACAGCTCCAAAGGTCTCCAGCATTGGGAAGCTATTGCACAATCAAAGGAAAATCAATTAATCACTTAATGCTTTTGACTAATTACTATTTATTGTCTTAATTTTGAGGAAAAACAATTATTGCGAATTGTTCTGAAATAAAATGCAATATGACTATATTAAAAATCCTACCCTAAAAACAAATTTGATAAATAGCAGATAACAGATAATTTACTATTGACTTTTTTTCTACATTAAATGTAGTGACATCTATTTTTTGGGGTGACAAAGTCAAACAAACCTTGGCGTCTCCATTTTCCTCAAACTGTTGTCTGACAAATGTATCAAAAGCATCCCAGTAATTCTCTGTGATGTTGCCACCAATACACCACAGGTAACAGAAGACAAACGTCGTACACAGTAGCGGGTTCAGTTTGTTGGGATCCTGGTTCAAATCCGGACCGCCACGACGGAACAGCAGAGATTCCAACAGACGGCAAAGGGAGATAACTTTGCTGACATCAACCTAAAGGTAGAAAAAGTTTTATCTGTAAATTTTCAATTAAAAAATTTTAAGTTAAAAACAATTTAATCTGAAATTTTCTTCTACTTGCAGTTTTTTGTCCAAAATGCTAGACAATGTTCATGTCCATTCTTTTTTTCTTCTTATTATTTATCATGACTTACAATGTATTGCTGCAATATGATTCATTAACTAGTCTTCTTTACAGCACTATTTACATGTAGTTTTATAAAAAAAAAAAAAAAATTCTGTGATTTTTTACCTGGTTGATGCTTTGTTGACACTTCTTGCGGACAAATGTCAAACCATCATCCACATATCTGACAAACAAATCCAAAATGTACTCTCGGATTTCATCCTTCACTTTGTCAGCATATCCGTTTATCCAGGTCTGGGTGAAGGGAAGCCATTTCAGTTCCTCTGGGTCCACAAATACCATACCACATCTACAAAGTTTACAAAGTTAAAATTTCTAAATTTTAAAGTTTAAGTTTAAATTTATCTTTATTTATTGAAATAGTTTTGTGACTGTGTTTATCCTGAGTGGACAAAGGAAAGGCAGGTACAAAATTTGTGGCCATGTTCTTAAATTACAAATTACTGTATAGAAATATTTTTTTGTGAGTAGATGGGAAGGAGTTTAAAAAAAATATTTTTCTGTCCTTCAATTGAAGAAATTTTTGTCATTTATCCAAATGCCAAAGGAAAAAAAAACAGATGTATTACAATTTATAATCAACAGCAATGAAATTCTTTCTTACACAAATATATTCCTATTGGAAAAGATATTGGTTAAATTACAAAAAAATATGCCCATAAATCTTTTCTTTTGAACAATTATTAAGAACAAATTCAGTTTACCTGCTGACTGTGGCAGGGGAGGCGACTGCTAAGTCCTGGACCTCAAACAACATGTGGATATAGGGGGTGAACTTGATTCTTTCACTGTTGGCCAGACACAACATCTTGTTATCATCCAGCACTGTGTTCATGTTCTCAATCCACAGGGCATCCACAGGGCCATCACATACCACCCAGTGGTGGTCCATTGAGGTATCCTAAAAATAGAATAGAGTGTTTTTCTTTTACTCTCACTTTCATTAACTAAATGTTTGAAATTATTGTTAAGATTCAGAGATCTTAATAAAGAATTCAATCCCATAGCACCAAAAGATAAAACTTTTGGCAATAAATAAAGCTCAGGGCAATTAATTAAACGCAGCTACAAGACAATACAAATTTTCCTTTCTGACCAAGATACATGTATTCAGTTATGGGAGGAAATTTCTAATGATCTTCCCATTCTATGATTTAAAATTTGCCCATTTAAATGTAATATATAATGTAAAAAGACAACACCCAAACTAACATCATGTTCATGGACTTGGCAAAGGCATGGATCCACCCCTCTACATTAGATCCACCCCTCTACTTAAGTCTATTTACCTGCACACAGGCTCTGACAGTCATAGCCATGAGTCCATCAGACCACTCCAGGGTCAGTTTATTGATCCCCCCATACAACTCCTCCATAGTGATGGACTTAGGGTTGAGGACGTGGGTGTGACAGGGCTGATAGAAGGGGTTCTTCTCCCCAGCAGCATGGAGATTGGTCAGCGTATCCTTCAGTACCTACAAAATAACACAAACATGCATCATTGGTAACCAATGGGAGCTTCACATTGATTTTTTTCTTTTACCAAGCTTGTGAACTCAAAACCATGTTTTATGACAATTATGAACATAATTTCGAAAACTTTGGGGTCATTTATTCTTTTATTTTTTCAATAACTGCCAGTTGAGGCCTGCTCTCTACTGGTCCTTGGTGAACAGACCTTATTTTTCATCTTTTTTTGATGGCATTTTTTATCTTAGCTACTTGGCTGACTTTGTTATTTCAAACACAATATTCTATCATTATTCAACTTGCAAAAATGGGAAGTTTATTTATATTGTCCTTAATGTCTACTAAACATCATAATCTAAGTCCAAATGTTAAAATTTAAAATATAATTAATTGCGACTTATTTACAACTATCCTGTGACCATTTTGATAACATGATACAGAGTTGTTGCCCTTTAACTTACATTGTACACTGTGGTTTTGCCCCCTCCTGTGGGCCCCACCAACATAACTCCATGTCGGACTTCCATTGTCTCATAGAACTGAATGACCTTCTTGACCTGTGTCTGTACGACTTGAAGTTTACGGGTCACTACAACATTCTTGATTTCTTCCTCCAATCTTCCGTAATCGTGTTCTGGGATTTCAACCCCTGGGAATAAATCTTGTAGGATGGCCTACCAAAAAAAAAAAACAGAAATATGTAAAAATTATGCTGTAATATATGGTATTACTCTAAATCAGCTACAACTTGCATAGATAATTTTATATAGTGCATGAATCAAGAACTTGCACATACTGAAACTTTTATGCATTAAGTTCAAGTATTTTTTAATGCATGTCAAAATCAGTCACCCAGGAAATTTTTAACATAAGAAGTTCAACATTGTATTCATTTGATAGATTTCATATACAGATATTTGTTTCTTTAAAGATCATACATAACAACCACAGTATAGCTCCAGCTTTTATCAAAGCAACAGAAATATAAATATGAAAACTATAAGCAATGTGCTCACTTGTACCCAAAACTCACTAAATTCTGACACCCACCTGAAACAGAGAGGCATCTTGTTTGAGGAACTTTGGGAGGTTACTGTCCCTGAGTGCACGAATCAGGACCACGTCCTCGTTCTTGTCGGGGTTCTGTCTCTTCAGAGCTCCAGCCATCACCAGCACAGACTTGACAGCCCTCATACCAAAGTCGTAGTGGTCCTGCTGGGAAAGCTGTTCACTACAGAGTTTATACATCTGTACCATCTTCTTGGCCAAGTTCTTGGAGGACTCGAATCCCTCCGAGTACAAGATCACTTCTGCAATCAAGGCTGAAAAACAAAGTAATATGGTTATAAATAGTTCAAAGCTATTTTTCATAGATTAATCATATGTCTTCACCCTAAATTGGTTATTGCAAATAAAGGTGGATTGATATAATATGTATAATTCTAAAGTGTGAGGAATATAGCTTTGACAAAAAAAAAAAGGAAAGTTTGTACATTTACCGTTACATGTATTAAAACATTAAATTAAGAGAAAAGTCTCCACCTCTTTCTATCTTATAGGTTTTTAAAAATCACACCTCCTCTTTTCAGCTCAACACCCCCCTCCCCTTTCATCAAAAAATTCAACATCAGGAAAGTTCTATGAGTGAACAAGAAAAACACACCATAATCTGGGACCATCATGGAGATAGGTCTGAATAAGGCCTTCAGGTTATCAGGCAGTTCAGTTCTCCCGGCATACCCTGGATTCATTGTGATAAAGGCAGCGCAGGTCATCACCAGCTTGATTTCACGTCCCTCAAACATGAACCTTGACACTTTGGCACTCTTGGCATTTCTGATTGTGATCAGCTGCTGGGCAATCACAGACAAGACTTCAATGTCAATTCGATTAAATTCGTCAAAGCAACACCAGGCACCAGACTGAGCCAGACCAGAGAAGAACCGACCCATCATCTGAAGAGGAAAAATAATTACTAGTAGAAGTACATGTACTTTTGTCTGCATGGTATTAATTTACGCTATGTGTCTGTATTAAGTTTTCCGTGGAAATTAGTCCAAGTGTAGTTAAAAAGAAATTGTCATTCCATGGAATTAAGACCTCATAAAAAAAAGTATATTTACAGAATATACATAAGGTTTTGTATCTGATTTCAGCACAATCAAGACCTGAGTTTAATATACAGGTTAAGTCACTGGTGTTTAATCAAACATTTGCTTGTAAATAAGAAAATTTTATCAAGAAACATGAATTCCTGTTATTTCACTGTTGTAACCAGTTCCCATTCATACAACTCCATTTCAGTTTGAAGGAATGGAAACAATTTAGAACCCAAAAGATTTATATTTTTTTTCTTTATTAACCGTTAAGGATTTGTTAGGTTACTGTAAGAGTTATTGCCCTTTAGCTTGTACAGCATATAAATTCAGAATCTCTTTACCTTGTAATCCAGACCATCAGAGCAGTTGAAGACCACACACTGCTTGGCGAGGGACTTGGCCAGATCTTTGGTGGTTTCTGTTTTTCCTGTCCCTGCAGGGCCGGCTGGGGCACCTCCAAGATCCAGCTGTAGGGCTCCCATAAGGCATAGGTAACAACGATCCTTTAATAGTCAAAAAGGTAAGCTGTACAAAGTTTCTTAGTGTTTTTATATAAAACCAGCACTGGTTTTTATGCTCAGAAAGATAATTCTATACACTGCAGTGAAATAAACAGCTTTATTTATCTCTCTGAAGATTTACCAAAAATAATTTTTTTTTTAAATTGCCTAGAAATATTTTTATCATCTGTAAAACAATTTTAATGCAACTTAGTGATCTTTTCTTTGGCAAAGCTTACAAAATTAACAAAAATTACATGTTTATTTTCCTTCTGTTTCTTATCACAAAACTTTGTAATATATACTTACAGTCAATGGGGTGATGACCAATCTCGGTGATGCCCCGAGATACTCGTATCCGTACACATACAGCGAGTTTGACATCCTGACCACACAGTTGTCCATCTCGAGATCCCAGTAATATCTCAGTTGTTTCTGCCACTCAAAGTTAGTTACAGTGTCTACCTTAGAAGCCACCATACCAGTGATCATGTCTCGAGCATGGACGTCAAGTGTGATCAGAGCACAGAGGTTTGCTCGAGCGAGTTTGGGGATTTCCCCACGTACAATGGCAGCCAATTCATTCAAATCCTAAGATACACAGCAGGTAAAAGACTTTAGTGAAAAAAAGCCTTCTCCCTGCTATCCATGTATTTAAGACCTACTACATACATATGATGTTGATAAATGAGAATCTAGGTTTATTGAAAAAATTTGACAAGATAACTTTTGAGGTCAAGGTTCAATGACCTCAGCTCACCTTGAAATTTTTCTGTTCAAATTCTCTCATGCCCTCTAGTCTGTCCATGTCACCCTCCAGAATTTCTGTCACATTTCGGCACCAGATGATCTGTGACACAGTCAGGACGATCTGAGAGGCGTGAGTCACCACCCACTCAGCTCGCGGTCTCTGTTCAAAATCTACCAAAGCCGCCTTTACAAGCTTACGGAGGTTAACAAACATGGCCTCTTCTACTTTTCCTAACCAGTCTTCCACATTTCCTCTGGCTTTCAAACCCTGGATAAAATAGAATGCATTAATTGTGCAAAAAAATCATTAAATTGTGAAATTAAGCTCTCATACTTCATGACAAAAGGTGATAACTTTATGTGAATTACCAATCTAGACACCACTTACTATATAAAGTTGCTGAAAATTTATGTGAATTCCCACAGGTTCCTCATGTGATCTTGGACAAAATTTCCTCAATAATTATCTTCTTTAATTAAACTCTGAAAGTTCAGTCTAATTCAACTTACCCTTCCTAAGCTGACGACTTCATTTTCTGGAGAAACCATGGCCAGGATATCATTACTGTACTGTACTTCCTCTGTTGATCAAAAATATTTTAAAAGTTTTGAAAATCACAAAAGCATGACATAAATAATGATCAAGTATTCTTGCTGCAATATAACACAAAGTAACACTGACAATTCCTTATCAATGCACTGCCAGATAGATGTTTTGCAGATTTAAACTGTAATAGATAAGACTTTCTGCTATAATAATAAACATAACGGGTACTCAGTGTTAGTAAATCTGTAAATTCAAATCATGCTATTTAGTTTTGACTCATAAATTTCTGTACTTCACAGAATATCTCACCATCTGGGTCTTGAGATGGTAAAACTCCAAACTCGAGTTTAGCGATGGCGTCAAAGCACTTCCTGAGATGTGGTTGTACAGCCAGGGGGTTCCTGGTTTGAGCCAGGATTTCAAGGAGCTCGTCATTAGACAAGAAGTAAAATCTGGAATAGATTTCAAATCATTTTCAACTTAACCTTCAACTCAATTGAAATTCAGAACAACATTCAATTGATTTATAATTTATATATATCTTAACCATTCCATGCTTTAAAGTTTGATATGATTTAGCAGATGCAATTGAAGGAAGTTAAAATGATGACAGCTAGACAAACAGACAGACCTGGCAAACAGAACTCTCTTGGACTCCAGATAGGCTTCTAGACATTTCTGGATCTGGTCCAACAAGGCATTGTTGTTCTGGAAAGTCTCCAGCAAACCTTTAAATTAACAAATTTGGAAAAAAATAAATCAGACAAAGATTTAAAACATGATACATGTTTATTACATGTTTATGTATATCTGTCATAATATTTATCAAACTGTGTTACATGACAAACTTTTATGGCTAGGTGGTGCCTGAGATCACCAGTGGTACCCTACAGACTTATCAGACTCATAAAAGCCTGTGGAATCTTCTTTGGCCAGTGGTATAACTTACCAGGTTGAGTGGCAGCTCTTATGGCCAGTGGTACCCTGTTGACCTTCCTCATGATATCTTTGTAGGATTTGTCCACCTGCATGAACATTCTGGCCTCCGCTGGCAGCTGACGCTGAATGTCAGGGGCAGAGAAAATACTCTCCAAGTACAACCAGTTACGCTGGCAGTTCAACCACTCATCCTGAAAGAGACAGAAAATTTTGTACTGAGTTACAGTGTAATTGTTTACATTTCTAAGAAAATATGACCTTAGATGTCAGATAATTTCCATCGAGAAGCAAACAGTTTTGAATAAATTCATTCTCAGATATATAAAGATCTTGTTTTTTTTTTTTTTTTTTTAATTTCTTGTGCCATATGATATTACAAGCTAATTTGATTGGTCAATCATATGACCAATACATAAAATATGTAATCTCTTGTCGTTTTACAAAAACATAAAATTATTACTTAATTTGACTGGTTAATTACGTAATCTCAAAAAATGAAATATTTACCAGGGTTTTTCCAAACAGATCCAGGTTTCTGGTCCATTCGTCAACCTTGCTCTTGATTGGGCCGACATGTCTAGAGCTAGCGATGGTTGCTACATTGATGTTGCTGTCATCCAGAAGTTGCTGAATATCGTCCGTGCCACCAAGGATAAAAACATCCTTGGAATCTTTGTGTGGCAGAACCATGAACTCTGTGGCTTTCCAGGAATCCTCCACCTAAAAGAGACAGAAAATGTGGTCCATTAAACCAATGTTCTGATTACCGGTACATAATAGGAAAATGCATAATTTTTGTACAAGCACATGACTAACTTAAGTTGCTAAATATTGGGTATAAAATTATTTAAACTTTGAAAACAAATTTGAACCTTGAATTAGCATGCTAACACAGCAGTATAACAAGTAGTTTTTGTGGTTGTTCAGTTTTTGTGGAAATCTCAGAAAATTTATATTTCTTGCGAATAATGAAATTCATCTGATAATATGCTTCTCCTATAAATTTCATTTAAAAAAAAAATGAAGCAAGGTTTTAAGATTTTTATTCTTCTTGCAAGAGTTATCTTTCTTCCTCTTGTCATCAAATTTTCTGAATTATGGTTATTTTTGTTTTAACTTCAAACAGAAAATTATGTTACTCCCCTTTCATACTTAAATAAAATTGCCTCCTACTACTACGTACTTTTTTGAGGATGGCCTCCAGACTGGCCTCTGAGCTGGCCTGGCCTGAGATTTCCTGTAAGGCCTCTCCACTGCGGAAGGCATTGATTTCCACAAGTTTCCCCAGGGTGAGGGGGTCCTCTGGGGTGAAGTGGTAATCCAGGATCTGTTCTATCACCTCCCAGTGACGGGGCTTCAGGGTAGGGTTCCTTAAATCTGTGATTACTGGCAACTGAAAATGGAGATATGTCAGACATCACAAGTACTGGACGAAAATTAATAAACTAATCTATTCACCTCTTATAACCATCCCATTTCCATTTTACACATCAAAAATTGAAAATTCAAGAAAAAAAAAAACTATTGGTTACATGAAATGACCTACCCTGTCTCTCATTGTTTCCACTCTTTCCTTCAGCATGGGGACAACCCCATTAGGGGGCAGTCCTTTTTCCAGCTGCATCACAGACTTGGCAAACTTCATGGTTGTGTTGTTCATCTGCTCTGGGTCAAGGGTCTCAAATGGAACCTAAAAAAGTATTTGCAGTTTATTTAAATTATAAGTACACCTCAACTTTTCAAGGCATATACATGTTCACCATCCCCTTACCCCCCCCCCCCCCCCCCCAACACACACACACAATATCATAAACCAACTTTAAATCTCTTAAAAATTTAAGATATATCTTTATAATGATTTATTTTCCTCAGAAAATTTGAAGTGAAGAATTTATTCCCCATTTTCAAATATTCTGAAATTTTAATTGCATCATAAAATCATTAGTCTAATAAAAATTAAATTCACTTCAAATTTTCCAATTATCTAATGTCTTATGCACATTCTAACCTTTTCTAACTACTATGTAAACAAAAAAATATTGCTTCTCCCACCCAGCCCCACAAAGAATGCTTCCTGTAGTAAATTTTTCCAGCCCTAATTTCCGTATTCTACTTACATTCATCCATTCATTAATATGGCCATCCCACTCATCAATGGCCGTCCACAACAGCTCCTTCAGCTTCAGTTCAGCATGGACTTCCTCCAGAGCATCGTACTTTGTGACCTCGACCTTGAAGTTCTTCTGGTACGACTTGTACGTGAAGGCTTGTTTCTGTAGACCCTCTATCTGGTTCAGCATTCTCTTCAGAATGCCCTGTACCTTATCTTTCTCTGCGGTGGAATCCAGAATCAATGGGTTCTGAAGACATTTAATGTTATGTGTTACAAGATATACATATAACAAAATAAAAAACATTGAAGCACACTGCACCTTGTGTAGTACAAAAAAAATTCTGTTCAACTTTTTTAAAGCAGACCTGAGAGACTTTTAGAAATATTTGAGTAATTCCTATGTTAACTTTGAAAAATTTGACAGTCTTAGCAACTATGTTCAATAAGATCTAAATTCTAACTTTTTATTTCTGAATCTTGAAAAGCTTAAAAAGGGAAAAAAACAAAAATCATTTGTTTGAGAAAGAATTCCTGCATGCAGCATTCACATGATTATCTCCCTTACCAAACCTCTGGATTATCTCCCTTTACCTGAGCCTCCTGTTTGATTTCTTTGACCTCTTTGCCGAGCTCGGCTATGTCCTTGTCAAGGTGAGTACAGAACTTGTCAATGTTGGCATCTCTCTCTGTTAGTGACTTATCTATGGCATTTCTAACACCTGTGATGCTGGGGTTCAATGTCTGTCAGAAAATTCAAAAACAAAACATCAAAGTTCAGTAAGTACATGTGCTTTCATCTTTGAAATAAAGTGGGTTTTTAGAAGGTTCCCTGAATTCTTTCCACCCCCTTCTTACCTTAGAATCCCCCTCCTCTCCCACCCTTTCCCAATTATGAATAAAATTTTCAGCATTTAATATCCCACAATTGGCTTTATGCCTCTCAGAAGTGATCAAGTCAGTTGACTTGTAACAATTTTGACTACCTATAGACACATGTACACATTACCTGGTATACAGCAAAATCCTCTGGTGGTGTAGGTACATTATACTGCTCAATTAATTCATACATATCCTTCACAACCATTGCCTCCTTCTCCAAAGGATCAATCTGTTAAAAAAATAGGAATTCTAAGCTTAAATATACACTGTACATTTTTATTGATGACGTACATTCAAGACATTTAAATATTTTAAGAACATGTTAAAAAAGATAAGTATCTAAAAATTTTATTACACCTAAGATTTCCCATGTTTTCATGAGCATAAGCCATCTTTGTCGTGTGGCAACTTACTCTGAGTCAACTTAACTTACCCTGACTTGAATGTCATCCAGGAACGTGAGCGAGTTGACAAACTCAATGGTGGTGGTAGGTACGACCTCAAGTTTGAACTGAGCGTCCTGTAACTCAGCAATGAGTCTGTCCACTTCCTTTCTGGCCTTCACTGGTAGTAGATCATTAATGACCTGAAATTGATCAATCATAGACCTGCCTTTGAAATTCAGTTTCTCAAAACATTGATATATTGAATACAAAGGAAATGTAAAAGTGAAACGGTGGTCTGACTTTTCAATTAATTTTTCATCTTTGAAATTTCAAACTCTTTGATATCTAGAATATTTTCACAGTTACCCTAGCCTAAGGATATTTAAGTTTGTCTGTGTATTAATACATAAAGTCAGATAAGATGCTGTACATGAAAACTTTACATTGCATCTAAAAATCAAATGTAGATGACTTACATCCAGACATCGTATGGGTGAGGGACACAGCAGACTCTTCATCTTAGTTCCGTCTATGAGGAGCATTCCAATTGGTCGTTTCTCCTTGATGACCTGGGCCATTCTCACCTGTCCATTGTACTTCTCTAGAGCCTCAGTAAAAAAGGCCACATCTAAAATAGGATTCAAAAAAGTAACTTGCTTGAATACTAAATATTTGAAGTTCACATTTCTAAAAGGTAATTTCTAAAAAGGTAAATCAATTAATAAAATTGAGTAATTTCATCTGGTACATTATTTGTATTTGTGCATGTACTTTCATCACAAAGGGCAATAACTCTGAGTTTACCATGCTCTTGTGCTCGGAGTGCCTCCAGATCCAGACTCTCGTTCTCTCTGTAGAATTCTCGGTGAGGCTCAAATGTGTCAGCATAGTTAGAGGCAGCATTGAAAGCCGCAGTAATGGAGTTCTGCAAGAAAGAACAAAAATCATTTTACTGACTGAGTATCAAAAAATTATGTGTTGTTCACCAAAAATGATAATAAGGATTAAAATTAATTTATAAATTGATCAATATTATGAACAGGTGCTTTGTACATAGAAACCAAACATTTGACTGACCCTGATGTCTGCTATGATGCTCTGTAGGTGCTTGTCATCTTCAAACATGGTACTTAGACTAGGACCGTCACCACACGTCTTCTCCTCAAATTTGTTGTTGATGATCGGGCTAAAAGAAGGAAATCATTAAATGTAGTTACAAGAATTCTATCTAAAAACATCCAGAGCATCTCTGATGAACTTGACATATACATGTATCATATCTGAATTTATTTCATCAAATTAATGTGTTGAAATCTTAGTTGAAATAAGATGTTGGCATTTTGTGCATATAAACCAGGATGTATAATGCATTTGGTGTTAGTAATATATTTCTGTGCTCATTAGTGTTAATTCATGATTTTGTTAAAAACAGCATATCCAACACCAATCTGATTAAATTCAAATCTATGATCAACTCCCGAATGAGATATAAATACATATATAAAATTTGGGAGTGGATCAAAGAGCTGATTTTAATTTGATTATACATCCATCACTTGCTCTAAAATTTGAATATGACCAAGAATATGTATGACTAGGTTAACATATAGAACTGTACAAAATGTTACAGCACCCTCATTTTTCTCATTCACTGTGTCAGTTCCTTTAAAAACATAAACATGTTTCAGCATTAACTTACTGTGTGAAAGCATCAAAGTAATTGTCTGGTACCAGGTTCTGAACCGACAACACAGCATCCTGGAACTTCTTGATGACCTCAGCCAGTCCCTCCTGGAAGTCGTCCGAGTCCGGCGCAAATAAGAGCTGATTGGGCTCCAGGACAAACTCTGTGATGAACAAGGGAGGCAACTGGTGCCCTTCCTCATCCTCCTGTAAGGGCAGATAACACTCAAATTAAAATCTGAATTAAGTAAATTTTGATCTGCTGTTTGAAATTTCAGATAACCTTAGATCTGTTTTAGCTAGTTTCATAAACATTTTTTAGAAGTTCTGTATATTTGATTTGAGTTTTATGAAAATTATTGTAATTAATGAGCATAAAAAATTATTTTTTTTTTTAATTTAATTATTTGTTTTAAAGTAAACTAGTTTTAGAAAAAAGTCAAACTATAACAAAAGTCATGAACATTGACTTTAAAAAAAATTAAAACAAAACATTCCAGTAAATAACATTAAATTCAAAAGAAATTGACTATGTTGCCTTTTGAAATGCCATAACAAAGAGAGAGAGAGAGAGAGAGAGAGAGAGAGAGAGAGAGAAAAATACAACTACTAAATAATTTTTATGTGTACCCCAGAGTCCAGATCAGGTGTGTCACAGTAGAAATATAGGTACTAAAGAGAAATAATTTATTTATAGTATATAGTTTGTAGCTATCGACTTCAAAAAGATGACAGACATCTTTGAAGGTCATAATATCCCTACAGGTACAACTATATGTATCTGCCTTTGATATTTCAACATTTTTGGAGAATATAACATTTAGAATCTTAAATGAAACAGTAGCTTTAACATTTTTTGAAAAAAAAAAAATGTACTGCATTTGTTTATGTATCTATTTATTTATTAATTTTTTTTTTTTTATCTGGAAATGAAAATATGAAAAAAAAATTCCCTATTGAAAATGTTAGGCATATCTTATAAATAGGGAAACAGCTAAATGATGGTAGTTTCTGATAATTTTCATTGATTAGCTATTCAAACTACACTCCATGAACATGAGCACACCATGTTATTAATATGTGAAGTCATTTCATTAGTGACAGTTAAAAGTGAAGACATTTTAATATTAAATACAGCTTGCAAGTTGAACCTGTAAACTAAAACAAAAATAAATTGATATCCCTTCACCTTATCTAAGAACTACAAGTAACTCTTCTTTTTATAAAAGCAGGGGAGATATGTGTGCTTAAAAGCATAAGCAGAGGGCAGCTATATATAGATCTACCAGGAAAAGGGTGATAACTACGTCAAAACAACAAAATAAGGGAGATAATTCTTCTACCTGTTCCTCATGTTTTCCCTTTTCGGCTTTCTCTTTTTCTTGTCGCGCTTTTTCGGCTTTTTTCTCTTCTCTCTGTAAGGTCACAGGCCAGCCACATTAAATGAGGGTTAAACAGAAAAATAGATTTGCCTTGTGTGATCAGTGTAGCTCGGCTTTAATTCGGATTCTGAAAGAATTTTTTTTCCTACCTCGTAGAACTAGAGATATGGTATAGAAATTACTTTACCCTCTGGAAATGATGAGTACATGTATAATTACAAAGCCTTAGAGGGGTGTAATAAAAACCTTGCAACAAGGTTTAGATAATGCTTTTTAATAAAATAATTAGAGAATTTATAAGGAAGATAATGAATGCTTGGTTTCCATATCATTGTAAAGCTGGGAGAGTTACTCAGAAATAGTATTTGGTTGTTTAGTCTGATTTATGATAACACAATCACTGAAGCTTGGTCATACATGTATATATATATTCACAATGCTGCTAGAATTTCAAAGCACACTGAAGAGAAATTTATACTCTAACCCCCCCCCCCCCCCCTCCCCAATTTTTCTCGTGAAGATTTAGATTAGGTCCATATTGAAGATTTAACCTCCCCTATCCTTACAAGACTTGACTCTTATTTTCTTGCATTTATTTATTTAATAATCAAGTTTACAAGGATACTTTTTATTTTCATTTACTGAAGGACACTGAGTGAAATTCAATTTAATGAAAGCCTTATAAATAGAAAGTTCGGCTAAAATAATGTATTTTAAGCAAATTAAGTTTAACTCTGCAAGGCAGTTGAATGCACATAGATATAAATTTCCTTATTACACACATGCAAATGAGTATTTAAATGGAGTAATTCACACTGCAGATAAAAAAGACCACAAAAGTTTTACATGCTAGTACAAAGGAATGCCACACAATATTATACACATGTATCACACACTGCAGGGAGAATCTGATTAAATGTCAAGTCATTAATTACACACAATACAATACATAAAATACATCACTATCAATAAGAATGTTATTATTATCTCTTTTATATAGGGACTGGTGCCAGTATTATAACTGTGCTTGATTTACTTGAGTATAAATGTAACACCCCCTCCTCCCAAGTACCAGGGGTACTAAGATTTTTTAGGTCTTTAAAATATTCTGAAAAGCTTTTTCAAAAAACAATTTAAACTCTATGAAAGAGATTTTTTTTAAATATACATGTACTAGGGTATATAAGAATTCATATCTTTAAATTTAAATTTATCCAAAAAGAAAAATAGAATCTCACATCCAAGCCAGATAAAAACCATCTGGATTTACTCCATGGATTACTTACCGTCTCTGGATCTTCCTTGAGTTCGTCGGCAGCCTGCTTGGCCTCTTCTGCGAATGCCTGGATTTGTTCAAGAGTGGGCGTGCTCTGGAGTTGTTCAGATAGGTAGTTCAGGAGAGTGGACACGGAGTTCACAGCCAGAACATGCATTGTGTTCACAATCAGGTAATCAGCCAATCGGATGAAGCTGTGAATAAATTTATCATAAGTACTTTTCAGAAATATTTCCAGGTATTGGTAATTTTTTTTTTTCATTTTTCAAAATTTTATTTAATATGTTAAATATGCTTTGTACAAATCAAATACAACAGTCTGTATTATCTTCAAACATTGTAATTGTTCTTTAAAAAAAAAAATATAAATTCAACTTATTCTGAATAACAAGCTTACCACGTGAGGCGCTTGCAGTGTGCCCTCTTGTTGGCCTGCTCTGTGTATGTCATCCTGTCTGGGGCCTCACCATATATATCCATATCATAGTTACTAGGCATCATGTAGCTGGAGGAGGTACCAGGGGCCATGTCACCTGTAAAGGTCAAAGGGCAAAGAGTTACAAATATACTCTAGAACTATAATCCTGGGGCCATGTCACTTGTGAAGGTTAAATGGCAAAGAGTTACAGATCAGCAGAAGCCATCTTGCTTGTAATGGTCAAAGGGTGAAGAGCAAAAAAACACACAAGGAGTCATGTAATTTGTAAAGTTCAGAGGGTAAAGAGTTATAGATAACCAAGCTGAGATCCTCTGATATAGAATTCACTCTGTATGCTATCACTAACTATAGTCTTAGAATGATTCTTACCAAGTCCTGGGCTGTTGGCGCCATCATCTGCCATGTAATAATCGTCAGGAGTGAAGCCCGCCTCCAGGAGGGCGGTTCTACAGGCGGAACGGACCACCTCCTTAACCAAGTCCCGGAACTCCGACAATCTGCCTGCAACCTGGAGAATAAATTATTCAATGTGTTAATGAATATGCATCATGTGCAAGTTAACTTAAATCTTGAAAAGTAAGTGTAAAAGGAAATTTCCTAGCTTTTTCCAGTTTAGTCAAACAATATGAAGAACTATTAACCCATTGTCACTATCAGTTCTTTGGTATATGACTTAATTGACCATAAAAAGTTTTATTTAATAACATCTAGCTTCATATAACTAGTAAGTTTTCATTTGTTGTGGATCGAGTTACTATAGAGCAACTATCATTTGTGACAACTTTTATTTGCAATTTGTCATTTGAAATCTGCAGTATGCGACAATAAATACACAATTAAATAAATAGTTCAGGATGAGAAATATTTGCGAGTAAGATTTAGTAATATGTGGATATTTCTTGCATGCAAATAAGATTTGGTTTACAGTTTTCTAAAGAGTCATGTACATTTCCGATACCTCTGTAAGCTGTGTAAATTGGGCCTCCCGGAACTGTGACAGGGCGTACGTGTTCCCCTTCTCCACCTTACACAGACCCATATCACTGATACGATGACACATCTCACGTACGTTAAGCAGGGCAGGTCTCAAAGACTGAAAAAACATGTTTAAATTGTAAAATACAGAGTGATATGGCTTAGCTCTACTGAAAGCCTGAAAACATTAAATGTAGATCTGAATTTTACACATCTGATTGAAATCCAAAGTAATCATTACTTATTCAAAATTAAAATATTTAGTGAATGTCCATTCAAACATAATCTCAAATAGGCAAGCAGGTCTCATAAACTCAAAAACTAACTAAAGAGTAAATAAAATATAATTAATAGCTCAACTGTAAGCTTGATTTAACATCTTTCAGTTGTGAATAGTTCCTGACAACAAAACTGATAACCTCTTTAATAATTACAATGTAAATACAAACACTGACCGGGTTAACAATAAACAGATTTTCATTGAGTGCTTTGGTACACTCTGTTATCTTCTTTGTTCTGACATTCTTCCTCCAGACATTAAATGCCTTCCATTTTCTAAACAGTGCAAAAGTCTTGATCTGGAAAAGACGTAAAAGATGGAATATCCCGGTATTTTGTTTGAGAACAGAATAAGTAACTGCTTAATCTAAAATATAAATGCTATACTTCCATGCTCTCAGATATATCAAAATATGAAAGTCAAAATAAGTTGAAGAATTCTTAATTAGTACGAATAATACATGTATTTAATGATTACAAAATATCAAGTATAAATCTACAATACTTTCAAGCATGTAGACAAAAGACACTTGAATCATATGCTGCACTGGTCCAAATACAGTTGAACTTTAATTGTAATTTTGGACATTGATATCTGGAATACCATGGATAGGTTGAAGTGATTTTGAAGTCCAAAACACTTATTCTTTAAGTATCTTACCCTCAATAACTCAAATCCTGAGATATCTCGAAGTTTTTCCTCAGTCCCATTCAGTTCGAGATAACCAGCATTTACTGTACTTTAAAATTGTGTCCTGTATTTACAAAAAACGTAGTTCCTTAATTTATTTACAGACATCGCTGACCTTGATAATTTTTTTGAAGTAGTTGTACTCCTGTTCCCAGCGATCCAGGGTCACAAACTCTGTCTCGTCATCATTACGCATTCTCGTCACGCCCTCCTGGCTGATCGTACAGTAGTCTGTGTGGTTGATGTTTTGGTGGTTCACCACCCTGAAAAAAAAAAGACAGTGTTTAAAGGAAACTCCTTTGTGCATTTATCAAATGTTCCTATGATCTGATGGACAACATTAAAAAAATTGAATCTCATTGGTCTCCAATTAGGACATTTTTTCTGGTGTTGCTTTATTATCTGATGAATTAAGTTTAAGAATTTTTAACATTATCATTCATGATAAATTCATAGCTTAAATACTTAAATTGTCTACATATATATACATAAGAATTGAAGCACACAATTGTCAAATCATAAGATGTTCCGTTGTGAACAACATCGCCATCCAAGTCCGAGACAACTTTCTGCATGAAAAATGGCCTCAACAATACATGTACATGTACTTACATTGTGTGTAAGGTGGGGGGGTTGAGGGATGCTGCTGATGTCCCACTATATTGGATCAGCACAGATAACAGATACTGAGTTGTAACAAGTCTGGTACTTACCTGAGATTGTAATAGTGATATTTGACTGAGGATTTCGGTACATTTGGACTCAGATATAAGAATCCGATTCTCTTGTCTTCCTTTATCAGTCTGATGATTTCATCAGCATCATTCAGCCCTTCATGGGTCTCAGCAACTGAAATATGAAAAAAAAATAGGGTTAATAAATATGTCAAAATTATGATCAAACCTGAGAAATATTGAGAGAATCTTTTAGGTTTTTGACAATCTTTAAAAATTTAGCACTCAGAAATAAAAACGAGTCCACGGTTTCAAAGAAACCACACTTGTCATACATGTAATAATAAGTTCTTGTTTTTCACATATTTGTACTCCATGTAAAATGTTGCATTCAGAATTTTTGCCGCATAGCTAATGTGCAAATGTTGCACAAAAATCATGGATGCAGCAAATGTGCATAAATCATCAATACATATGTCTCATGCATTGCTATACATGTATTGCAAAATGCAAATTAAAACAATTTGGTAATGCTTAAAACAAATAAACAAGCACACTTGCTTTTTTTTTCTTTAACCAAAATTTGGAACAGAAAACTCAAGTAAAACATATTTAAATCTCTGTAAAAATTCTGAACTTTAAAGATGTGAAATATGTTCTTTAATAATCAATATGTATCTTCAAAAATTGCTTTCTTGCTTGATCTATTCCAAACTTATCAATACATGATTGTAATAAAAGTCTTAATATAGGTTCCAAGACTGAAATAAGTTTAAGCAATTTTGTCTTGAAATTTTCAGGAACATTTTTCACATCTTTTCAATCCAAACATAAATTTATTCATTTAAGCATGTGCTACCTTTTTCCAAGATAATGGAAAGTCAAAAAATTTTCATTCGTATTTCATACTCACGGAATAATGGTAATTTGAATTTTTCATATAGAGCTAAAGAGTCTGAAAGTCATTTATGTCTTAATTGTAAGTTTCTGTTCATGAAATAAAATAATCTATATAAGATATGAACATTTCTCTTATCTGTATCTCTGGAAGCAACATTTAGTTCAACATAATTTTTGTGCAATTTCATCCTTAAAGTTACCTTTTATAATAACATAACTATGCACATTACTTTGTGAATTCCTAAATACAGTTTTGAGCAACAATTTAACCCTAAAAGTTACATTTTATAATAACATAGCTATGCACATTACTTTGTGAATTCCTAAATACAGTTTTGAGCTACATTGTTTGTATGATATATTTTTGGTGCTTCTTTTTTTTCTGAAACCAAGCACTTACTTTTGGCTTTTGTTGATGCTGGCATTTTGGGACCAGATGTGTGTGCTTTACCCCGAGGTGAGATAGGCTTGGGCTCTGATGGGGGTGTAGGCACTCGTAAAACCATGGAATCCTGGTTTCAAAATTTTAAAAAATTATTGAACAATGCTTATTAATCAAACAACTGAGTAGCAGGCAAACACAATTACTGGGGGTTAATTTTCAATAGTCATGGGGATAACCATAATGTAAGAATAAAAAAAATGCATTTCTAACAACTTGACGAAACAAAATTTATCAAAAATTCTGACCTGTTTTTGTTGGAGGTCACCAGGTAATTCTGGGAGGGGGGACTCGGATTTGTCCATTGGTTCTACAGAACCAGCCCTTTTCATCTTCTTGGCTGTAGGTTCATCCTTCTTGAACATTCCCTGGGACTCCAACCTTATTCTATTCTGATTCTGAATGTAAGTTGGATGATTTCTCTCTTGGTATTTTTGTAAACTTGGCTGAAGTTGAAATAAAAGTGTTGCTTTTTATTCCAGTCTTAATCTTACAATGTACATATATTCAGTACTTCTGAGGTAGCATATCATGTGTTCATGGATAATGCTAAAGCTTTGATTACACCACAATATCACAATATTAGAGGGATGCATTTAATAAGTTTAGATTAAATTTTATTTCGTCATGTTGAAAACATTTACATGTGATTTAACACAAAATACAGCTTTCGGTAAATGATCCTGTTGCAATCAAAGAATAAGTATATACCACAGGTTCCAATTTTGGTCCAATGGGAGCAAAACTTTTCCTCATTTGGGTTTGTGTGACTCTATTGAATCGAAGAGCCTTTGTATTCACTGCCGCTTGCTGTGGAGCAAAGGAGATGAGTCGGGATTTAAGAGATTCTGGGTCTATACCCCTCAATCCCATGGGCTGACTAGCTGCCATTTGATCATTATCTGTTGCTCCATTCATCCCTGATCCATTCATGTTTGCAGCATCATTCATACTCCTGTGTACACCATTTGTTTGTCTGTAGGCCATTTTGTAACCTATAAAACAATGTCAAATCACTCAATTGTATTTAAATCACATAAAAACAAATTCTGGTTATATATGAAAGTATAAATTTTCATTGACATCTACCATTGTCAACTTTTCTATACAATTATAAATAAAAATAGATCTAGAATGCAGTATAGATCTTGATCGTTCCATTAACCTTAAAAACAAACAGTGAAAAATCCAGAAGAAATGAATAGCAAAAATGACAAACAAAAACGCAGTTACCAATTACTCATACTAGTGTTACAAAATTTAACACGACCCCCTGTCCTGTATAATCTTTTTGAATTTTTGGCAGACATTCAATTATTGCACACAAAACAATAAATTCAAAGGAAAAAGAGATGAAAAACATTAAGTTTTCTTAACATTTTATAAATACCTTTTCTATTATCTCCACGTTTATTCAAAATCTATATGAATTGCTGTCTAAAACAGCTTGTATTTACTGCATTTTGGCCACCTAATCAAAAGTAGATACACTTTTTGGCGGCCATGTTGCTTACACATTGCTTGGCAACACGGTAGGTTTCGCTACTTTTAAAGAAAAAAAAAAATGAATACATATACAGAAATTTAGCAAACGCTTTAATTCACAATGAAACAATAACAGGCAAAAAAAAAATTGTAAAAAAAAAAAAGAAGATATAATGTCTTCTCGCAGTAACGAGAACAAGTATATTTATTTTTAGATTTATTGACAAGGTGAAGGTCAATTGGATTCTTGACGAAGAGTGAGACGTACGGTGCAGTGAAAAGAAGTGAATAAAAGGTGAATTTTTTACATTTACTTTGGTAAAACAAATGTTTCCAGACTAAAAATATCAAAACTAAATTTATGATATTCATTTACATTAGAATTGTTTATAAAGTAGAGTTTATTGAAGAAAATTTTAATGCCGACCTGTCCCGGCCCAGACTAACGTTAGACCTTTGAGCAAGCCTGATGTTTATTCTGACTCATTTTTACTAAACAATCGCTTACTGAGTGAGATAATCTACTGTGTATTGTTGCTTCAGTATAGTATAGGAAAACGAGATTGTTTTGCTGTTTTCTGACAATTTATTTTTAGTTAAGTCATTAATTAGGAGGGCTTATTATTATTAATTATTTACATCATAGGACCTTAGATGCTTGTTTCATTCTCTCTCTCTCATTATGAAGAGGAGGAGGACCATGTATATATGTTACTACAAACTCAATCTTCTCTCTTTGATGTTTTGTACTCCTACAAAATAATGTACAGCTTATGTCAAGACCACAGACTTCCCAGTGTTTCCGCTGACTCTGAAAACTAAGGGTCATCATGACCTTTTGAACTTTTGGAAGTCAAAGAGAATTTTTGAGGGTCAAAATATATTCTTATTTTGCTTTCAGATGTTATACTAGGTATGATTCCTTTCATCATAATTTAATGTTTAAAAATATGAAAGTAAAAAATATAATTGAACTTGTTTTATTTACACATTCTACCAATTCCGCCATATTGGTTACAGTACGTCTTTCAAGAGGCAACATCTAAAAGTTCTTTGAACGTTTTGCAAAACTGTTCATTAATTATTTGAATTTCGCTGACCTTATTCTTACTATCTTCAGTCTTTTTTACAAAGCCAAAACTGAAATAAATATGCAGATGTCAGACATGATTTCTTTTAAATTCGGACTTCCAGTTTTGTTAAAAATTGGATAGATCATTTGAAAATTTAAATAGATTGTTGATATGCTAAAATTCTAGCTCGTAGGAGTTTACGTCTGTTTGAACGAGACTCACTCCAAGCACTGTCACTTGGAAATTAAAGCAACAGTTTATTCCTAGAATTTTTGAATGCAGATTATTAAACTGGTTCCATCCAGGCAACAACATGGAACTTTTTAATATTGGTTTCCGTATTTTTCTTGCATCATGATGACCCTTTGGGTGATGAATTAGGGGGTATAAGGTATTTTTTATGCATAAATTACGCAGAAATTTGCGTTAACAAAACACTGCCTACAGACTAAATTTAGAGGTTTTTATTTCAATACTGCATTATAATTATTTATTCAAGATTTTTTTCTAACCATTGGGAACTACAAATGTTTGTTTTTTTTTTTTTATTTTTACAAAGAGAAAAGAAAGATGTAGGTCCATATCCCCTCTAGTCTTAATGGTTGTACAGTGGATTCCAAAACTAAAATTCTTGCTTTGAATCAGAATGTGCTCCATTAAATACAATTTAATGATAAGTATGTCAGGGAATCATCAATAAATGTTATTTTGATCTATTTTCCAACTCGACGTTTAATAATTATCAACACATAGTGAACTATTGATTACAATATGCATTGTTTCAAAAGTTTAATATATAGTTTTTAAATGTATATAAATTTCTAGGGGAGGGGGTAATATAAAGAGAATCATAACTTCTACCATTCATAGACATTATGTAAAAATTTGCTGAATGAATATAAATAATAATAATCAGTCATACTAGGACATGAGCGTAATGATGCATTGGTATATATAATGATAAATAAATTATGTAGACTTACCAAGATGAAGCAAAAGTTATGGCCCTTTAGCTATCCTGTAACATGTTTATAAACATATTAAACTCATCTTATCAGATAAGTATGTAATAACACCAAAAGTGAAATTTTTCACTGTTTGTTCAGCTATTACTCACAAACAGGTGTAAACATTTATAGAAGTCAGTGGTATTAAAAGTGACCATAATATTTGTACAGGTCAGGACAGTGTGATTTACATGTGCACAGAACTTTAAAGTGGAACGTAAAACTCCAACAGGCCTAAAAATCAGGTTAGTGGCTAGTGGTTACAAGCATTGTGTTGAAACTTCTGTTTGTTTGTTTTTTTTATTTTAACTGGAAAATATTTCTTTTTTTCATTTTGGACAAAATAAGTTTATCACTTGTTTTATTCAACATAACCTGCATACAATATTATGAAAGCTCTCTTCAAATTTCCTTCTGACGCAGTTGGGTAAATTAACCATATAAATATATACTAGCAATGGGGAAAAAGTGTTTTTTGCACAATTTTAGGCTACATTTGTATTTACATGATTTGCTTGGTGATAAAATACATGTACATTAGACATAACACACAACAGGCCTGCTAATGTATTGGATTTCACCAGATGGTTTGTGTTATATAGAGCACAGTAAGATAAGATCAGAGTGTTTCCAGCACTTAATTAGTTGTTTACAGCATATGCAGCCTTTTGAGAGGTGCTATATACATGAATATACATGGTGTATGTAATACAAATATGAAGATTCATTGCCATTTCTATATTAAATATTTTTTTTATGGGATTTAGAATTTCCTTGTTAAACACTAGATTTTTCTAAGTGAAAAGAGAGTAATCCACTTAATTAATCAATAATTTTTAATTATAATTACATATTTTAATTAACACTTTTACATATTTTTAGGAGACAAGGCTTTAATTTTGTAGACTTGCATTTGTAATATAAAAGGCTAAATATTAAACTCTTTAAAAAAAAATAAAATAGAAAATGCTTATATTGATCAGAGTTGTAGAATATTTTTTCTAAAATCACTGTCAGATATTTGGTCTGACAAAGTTAGAGGTTCTATCAGACCAGAATAAATTCTGTCAGACCAGATACATCTTTACTGTGCATGTATCTTATTTACATACAGAAAATAAAATTTGTAACTGTAAACTTCACCCAAATGCCTTTCATTGTTTTCAACAGTATTCCATCTCAGAGAAATCTAAAGAACATGATTTATGTCTATGCTGTCATAAATTTGATCATGCACCATCACTGTGCAGCCATCTTTGTTGTTGTTGTTTTTTTTTTGTTTTGTTTTTTTCGCCTCTTACCTATGCATCTGGATCCTGATCTTTTAAAAATTTGCATCACACCATTTTTTTTTTCCAAACAACAGTGACATTTGGACCAATGTTTTTTTTTAATATTAAGCTATTCATCCAGACAATTTCTTACTGGCTTTGCCTACAGGACCAACAGTTTTTGACAACTGCTTATGATATCATTGAAATTTAAAGCATTTTTAGAACATGGATTAGTTTATAATTTCTTTGATTTTTAAGGTAGCCAGCTCTTATTTTCAGAGATGGATTCAAAAGAGACAGATGGGAAAAATGCACAGGTTTTCATTGTAGATTTTATAGAGCAGTGCATTTACTTTGTAGATTTAGAAAACAATTTATTATGTCAATGAATGGATAGAGATAAAAGAAAAGATTTGACTTGAAACTTTGTCTAAAATTTTGAAAGACCACCTTTTACTCTTCTTTAATTATTAAAACTGAATGAAAAAGGAATGGTCATGTATAATTGCTACAGTATCTTGACAAAGTACTTTTTTGGAAATTTGGAAATTCTCAGACAGACGGACGTACAGCTAGACAGACAGACAAGTAGCAAACAAAACAATTTCTTTATGTTTGTTATGCTCAGAATAGAACATAAAAATGATTTTTTTTAAACAAAAATGGTCATATTGAATTATCATGTTTTATGTAAGATTGGAGAGTTTCACAAAAAACTGTCCCCGAGTTATAGTCAGGTATTTACATAGTGCATTTAATTTATAGCACTCGTATTTATCATACATATATGTAGCTGAACAGAATACACATCCAGGAACAAAAAATAATAAGCCTACAAATATTTGCTTTTTCTTATCCCAGTTATGAACACATGTTTGATGAGAATGTTATAACACTACTATACAGCTATATATGTAGTACATATGCACTTAGAGAATTATAATTAACGTTTGCTGATATTTGTAGATAAATGATAGGTTTTTAAAATCTAGAGAGAAATCAACTGTTCCAGAATTTATGGAATATTCTAAGACTTGCTTATAAATACATTGTTGTATATTCTCTTAGTGTGCTGTATATTCAAAGCATATTAACAAACACACATAAATTACGCCTTTATAACTACTTGTGAATAATAAACAGTTTTTGATC